GGCATTTTTGGTGTTCTGAAGAAGATTTAACATATACAGATGGATACCTCGACGTTTCAGTCAATGATTCTACGCCCAGAATTCAGTTTTACGGTGTGGCGAATGATTCTGTATATTAAGTAGCCTACGGCTATGTATTGGTGTGATAGAACTTGATTAAATATTATTATATTAGTATTAATATATACCTATAACCACTCGCAACATCTGTTTCAAGTCACATAACGGGGAATTATGAGTCATTACTGTACAATAAACCTTATCTTTGAAGGGGCTTATAGCGGTCTCTCTCAGTTTTTTCTACTTTTCAAAGTTGAGGGTTTTATAGCCCTATATAGTTCTGCTGTCCAGATGGTAACCGCATAAAAAAAAAACAACCCAAGCAATTACAGTATAAGCACCTAGATACAAGAACCACTTCACGCTCGTAGTAAAAAAACGCCAGCTTTTGTACTATAGTATATGCACTAAATCAGTAATAATTGTTTCTGAAGTATTTTGAAGTAGAAATTAGAATCACTTGATTTCCATGAACCGAGTCTGCTTGGATTTCATAATAAACATCAGTGTTAGTGTAAGATTATTGAAGAACCACTTCTACATGCTGGCCCTCCCAAAATTGATGTAAGTGGTTGTTTTATGCGGCGGGTTTACTAGAGCTACTGACTCGTATGCCCAGTTCCTGAAATAAGGATTGAAAAATAATCAGGTGCATGATGGGAATGATCAATAGCTATATTTTATTGTCAGTACAGAAAAAAATGCTTGGATGTTAATAAAATCAGAGTTTGATGGAATTGCCGAAGCAAGCAACAAGACATTATAAGGATAAGTCAATAGGTTGATTAATTTTAAGAGTTCAAGAAAATGTTCAGTTCAAAACCTATAGCAATATAAGCAAAACTTGCTTAACTTCGGAGTTCGGACATCATTTTTTCTTTGGCGTACCGGCATCTAAAACATCTTCATTTTAACATTGATATAGTTTAAAAACACTCATCACTAAACGTGTTTGTTTGCCGATCGAGAAACGTATCAATATTGGAAATCAGTTTTTAATGTTGTCATGTTAACCAAGTATTATACTCTCATTAGTTTTAATTTGAGCACGTGTGACGTGACATACGAAAAGCCTCGATTACCAACAATATTGAGTTTGGCAACCGACACAACAGAAAATTACTTACATTTTTGTATTGGAGCCAAAGCACATATTCACTAAATTTTATTTGCCTCTTAAAAGTACTAATCTTTCTTTTAATAAACAACCCTTAAGTGACAATAAGTGGGCGTTCATAATTTATGTAGTACTATAAGATAAAGGAGAAAAAGAGTATACTAAAGTATTAAAATTTATATAAAAAGGATAAATTTTAACAGTAACTGACCGGTCAGGAATCACCAGAAGTGTAGGCCTACAAAGATTGACAAGTTTAGTTCTCTTTGATCGAACGGTTTTCTACTTTGACTGTCGTTTTGACTTTGACTGGCACTAGTGTTTGTTTTCTAATGCCCCCAATCCCCCCATTCAGAGTTTTTTGTTTTCGACAAATTTCGTTGGCCCCCCAATTGTTACTGGAGAAAATATCTGGCTCCCCTTCATAGCCCCCCATGCACAACCAATAATTTGAACGTCCCTTAATAGCCAGTGAATTCTAGATAAAATTTCGGGTGTGAATTTTATTAGACCTAACCCTACAATAGTTACCGGCTCCCTAACGACTTCGAACGTTTTAATATGAGCCGTGAAAATGGATGTACTAACTCATATACAATACTCAAGCAATATATACCATATAGAGATGCCTTTGTCTTAGAGTAAAAATGCTATATTGTTGATGATGAATTCTTTTATTGACGTAGCCTTGTAGCCCCGCAAACTATTAATCGAATTAGGTCTGTGAGGGTGGTTGATGCTTCTCAGAAGCTCGGATACTATTTTTTCCCAGAAGTAAGGGATAATAAAATAGAGAAAAGCAATTTATAATTTTATGAACACGTAAATTATGAGCTAGATGCGTATATGGTGCATACCCTAGCTTCCTTAGAGAAAATGATGAACAGTCATGCACCTATATCCGGATTTCCCGGCTCAATTTACGCTTATGGGGTACCAAAGTGAACTTGCTTACGCTTGTGCCACTTGTACAGTTCCTGAAAGTTCCGGTCAATTACCAAGAAAACGGGTCGGAATAATCAAGAATAACAACCAAAAATGAGCATAGTGTGCCGGTGATATAGGCTAGCTTGAACAAAAGCGATTTTTCCTTATTTCGTCAGCTGGAGAGAGAGAGTTCAACAACAGAGCTCTTTGCACTGAAAAGGATTTTCTATAGACCCATTGCACATGACATCACAGCGCCGGTGACGATGCATCTGGAGGACAAATTAGCAATCTATGCATAATATAACTTTTGTAAACAAAACAAAGCAAATTTTGTAAAACTTTATAATAATTTTGTATTAAAATGGTTAATTTTTGCGCTGTATGTGGTTGTTGTACTCGAACAAATATTGTTAGGGAGCATCTGGAGGACACTCTAAGGATTTGTGACGTCAGTGCAATGGGTCTATACCGCCACATGGAGCCGGCTCTGTCGTGACTTTTGGATGGAATTATTAAGCACTAGATTTTTCTACAAAATCGGCAATTTTCCAAAGCATAAAAACATTAAAGTAGTATTACAATGTGAAACAGATTGGTTAAAATAACTAATTTAAATTGGTTGTCTCAGATGCAATTACTGTATATGACCAGTATTTTATTGGTTAAAACAACAGTTAGTTTAACGAATTTTTCGGTTGTTTTGACCAAACATAGTGTTGGTCAAAAGAAAATGCATCTGAAACAACCAATTCAAATTGGTTATTTTAACCAATCCGTTTTTACAGTGTTATAGGTCGTAAGCTTTATAAGTAAGTGAGTAAGTTGGTAAGTCGAACTGTCGAAAAAGTCTGCTGAATTGGCTCAGCGAAGATTTGAACCTAAGACCCCTCAGATGCATGCTTTATACCGATTGAGCTATATCCTTGCCTGCATGAAAAGCTTTATAAAGACCCACTGACCCATACAATATACTTTCATATATTCAAGTTAACATCCTTATCCTCGGTTAATTTCGTCTCAAAATTTAGCACATTTCCTTATAAAGATTCGTTTAACAGTATTTGGTTATAGGGTGTGATAAATTCTATTCTGCAGGCGTTGTTTGACCAGGAAACATAGCGGGAAAGGGTTAAGCATGTATTATATGTTATGATCGTATCATACCTCCTATTTATCGCTTCCTTTTCTTAACACTATGTCAGCAAGATATCCTCATGCATGCATACTCATATTACCCCCAAAGAATGATTCAGCAATAGTTACTTATATAATACCAATTTGACAAATGTATAGCTACTCAACTGAATACAATAATTGATGACGATGTGAATAACCCATGATGATTTGCCAATTACAATAATATATTGCAACTTTTAAACTGATTTTATAGTTACTGAAAAAATATACTACAGTCCATAAAATTTTTTTAAAGATTGACTTAATTCTTGCCGAGGGCAGCATGCATGTCAGTGTCGCGCACGTTCTTAACAAAAACTACGACTCGGGGACAATTATATTCATGGCATTACAACTGAGTCTGCCGAGAGCTCTTAAATTGCTCATCAGGAAGGTGACCTAAGAATTATTTGCTTTCTTTGAGCCGTTTGAGACTACAATCAATTAACACCAGCCCGCACAATTTCGTTAATACAATAATCACATTTAACTGATCGACCGCATTAATACTGTCCTGGGCCTACATATTGGCACATCACCGACAACGATACATACAAACATTTAACGTCATGGTTATTTAACATCAAAACGCACACATGACAAAGAGATTGCATCTTTTGAGACCATAATAACTAAATCAAAGTTTCTGTAATCACAGAAAAGGAATTTCGCATAGGTAAATAAAGGATTTGTAAGAAATGTTTGAGGGAATTGACTCGATCAATGTTAAACGATGACTCATTTCCCTCAAAAATTTCTTACACTGATCATTTAAAATTTACCCATGCAGAATTCCTCCTGTGGCTGTGATTACAGAAACTTTGATAGTATAACTAACCACGAGCCTTAAGAAATAATTGCTACAAACGATTGGTATAGACTTTGCGCAAATTTACAATTGATAAAAACTGGTTAAAACATTCATGGCTACTATAACAGTATAAGTATAACTTTGCGTGAAATCATATCACATGCATGTACTGACAAAACGTCAATATACAATATTGATTTGCCTTATGTTGCAATAGGTCCTGGTTATCAAAAGAAAATCGGATTTATTTGCTAAAGTTTACAGAGCTCTAAGACTATAGTAAATCTCGTGTTACTGTGTCACAATAAATACAGTGTTGCTCGCGTTCCCGAGAGCGCAGTGTCGGTTCATTAACATATAAATATATAATCGTATCATTGCATCATCAAACCATTTGAAAGGAGTTATAAAAATGTTCATCGGAACATAAGCGGAAAGGTTTTAATAGGGTTTTTCCTCCGTTTAGCGTCATCGATATTGTACTCGATTGCTGTATTTGTCAATGAGAAACTTCTCTTAAAGATTCTTTGAAAATGTACAATGGCGTATACATAAATTTGGTTTCGACATACGCGTTTCCGCATATTAACGAGTTTTGCGTGGAACGCCCCCGTCATAGAGTGAGGAAAATTCGAATTTTTTTAGGAAACTTTCGAAACAACGTTGTATATATGGTGTGCAACAATTCACTATTCCGTTTTATTGTTGGCGTGACAATTTCGAAGGCGTGAATAACTAGCGCTCAGATTTCCGAAAGCTGTCCAAATGTCATAGCACTTAAACATGGGTGGTGACATTTTGCATAACACACGCTTCGCTATACGGGACCTGGAACCCATTTCCTATATGTCACTTGCCCAAGCAGTATTTAATACCCCGCGACCTCAAGAAGGACTCAAATCTGCAGTAGCATCAACAAGTGCAAGAAGCAAGTGAACTGTGTTGAATTGAAGAGAATCTCTCCATAGCCTCTCCTGCGCAAATCGTCCGTACAAGCATTGGCTTATCTCGAAGGAAACTACAACGTGAACAAAGAAAAGCTGATTATTTAAAGTAAGTTTAAGATTTTCTTCATCTTTTGTATTGATATACGACTCCGTTAATCTGGATAAAGACTTTTGGATTGGCTTAGTTTCTTCGCTGGCTTATGCCGTAGAATATTCAGTGAATTAACATGCACAGTATAGACTGCACTGCCTGTAAGAAACTTATTCTAACTAAGAAAATCTGATTAAAAATAAGATTTTTCTTCTTCTAATGTATTGATATACGATATTTACTCTGGCATAGTAAAGATTTTTGACGTGAGCTCATAATTCAGCCCTTGTCGTCGTGCATTCTATTTGCGTGCTCTACACGAATCTTAAAACTTTGGCAAAGGAAATGATTGAATTATAACGTAACCTGACTCAAAGATAAAACCGATGCTATTCTTGTAATGCACCGATTTGCGAGTCCTGGTTGTGTGGCTAAAATATTTTGGGTTCGTTTTATTGCGTTGGTCGTTGGTTGCTGTTCGTGATTTCATCTCACGTAGCATGTGAATTTTCAAACTTGTTTTTTTGGGATTGTTTTCTATTAGCTTTCCGAAGGTTTACACGGGAAGACACAAGGGAATTTTGTCAGTGAAATACAAACTCGGGTTCCTACACTTGTCTCAGCGATTCTGCAATGATTTTTAGTGCTGTTAGATATATCTGAATCCATTGTGTTTGAATGTTTCGATCTCTTCGACTTTGAATTTAGGCGGTACAAGAAGAACAATTAGCTGCCTTCCATTTCAAATTCAACAGTTTAATCTATCATCATTATCGTTATCATGACAGTTTTTATTCAATATACGGAGACGATATGTTTCTTACGAAGCCATTGCATTTTCTCACTTTCTTCCGAAGCCGGTTTACAACACAAACCATATATGGTAGCTTTCTAGTAAAAACGTTAGCAATGTTTTTGTTGGGTTTAAAAACTGATAACGCGAAACTTTTACTCAAAATATTTACACTGCACCCGCTATAAACATGAATATACGCCTTATAAAATATCATATCTAAAGAGACTAGATTCGGCAGTCAATCAAGCCTCGGCAATGTTTTATATCCTTAGATTTTAAGCCCTCTTATACGATCGAGTGAAACAATGCCTAGAAGTATAACGGTGTGGACATATATATATATAAGCTGCATGTTTCTGTAAGATGTTGATCATCAGAGATTTTCATAACAAAGGTTTAGTTAGAAATAGCAAACGTTTTAATTTAGGAGTCATACATTCTAATACTCAAAATCACAGTGCATATTGGGCCTAGCCATTAGAGGGCATCGATTCCTTCCCGAAATCACTGAAACTCTAAAACTGTAGTCTGTATTACATAATCTACGACACCTAACGTTTCAGTCTGCAAGACTCCAAGTTTATAAAGTACATATATATGTTAGGAAAAAGGATTTTGTTGGCATGAGTTGAAGTTATCGCAATCTTGTTGGTCGAATTCTAAACTATAGTTTGACATGACATTATGTTTTCATTTTTTATTCAAACAATGCGTGGGTCGTAATGTACATTGCCATTGCATTTTATTTATTTTGTACTGTACAATAGCGATATATGCGGCATTCTATCAGTATATATGGGCGCGTTATCGAATAATTCAATTCGGTATAGAAGTTATAACTTTCACAGAGAGGTCATTAGATCAATTAGAGCCCATTGCCGTGGCATTGGCATTGCGATCGATGTTTAACTGAATGAGACCTAGACTTCAAATGACTAGTATGACTTTCAAATTACGAAGACTCTTATATACCTAGTTTAAACCTGGTAACATAGCTAAACCGTAAAGTATACAATTAAAAGTATCGAAAGTCTAATAAAATATCGAAGCTTTTGTCCTTTATAGGCTTCACGCAATCACATTTTATCCTTAGCCTTAGGGGAATTGCAACCGCGAACGTTAGTTCAAGACGCAATTTTCAGTGTTAGAAATAGAGTGATAAGGAAGCACTGCGTTAGTTTAAGGGCGAATATCGCACAGTTCTTTAAACAAGCTTAATCTATACCAGCGCCGAGAGGTTTTATCCCAGCTTCAGTTATAGATTATAAAGCCTTCCCTTGAGAGGGTTTTTGTTCTCTAACATTTGAAACCATTTGTTCTGTTTTCAACCAAGAACAAAAATCCAACATACCTTGGAGATTAGAATAGTCCGCGGTAGTTTTTTTGGAAATAGATCTGAAAATAGATGATAGAGAAATTAGATGAAAAAACTATCAGCGAAAACCATTTCCAGTTGAGTCTTGAAAGCATTCTTCTCTTTGTATCTGAGGAGAACGCCTCATGTTTAACTCAACGTAGCACCGCAAATATTCTCCAGGTACTCAATTTCTCCTGTGGTAACACTGTAACGAAAAAGGGCGGTTCTTACAGGATCTCAAGGGAGGCGAGTTTAGAACTAATACAGCTATGCAGTATATATAGCATTATAGCAAAGAAAGATTACGACTTTATTGCACTTAATATAGCATGGAGTGTACAGACTAGGCAAAATGAGGTTTTCTTTTGAAGTTCAGAGTGAGCTATTCAAAAGGTGTACTTAATCTTTTGTTTGGCTATTGCTAGATATAGGGAAATCTTCTTTGAGGATTGTTATAATCTGGGCCATCAAGTAAATAGTTTGGTTCATGAGGGACCATACAGTCATGCCGTGTTTAAATAAAAATCTGATTGAGAATTGAGAACAGGAAAAAACACATATTTGTTGTTACCGGTGGCAAGACAGGTCTCTTTGATATACAATTTTAAGAAATGTTTTTGTGCCAACGCCAATTAATGTTCTTATTTAACGGCCGATAGCCTTTTGGACTTCAGTTATAGAAGAATTAAATTTACGAGTTGCCTACTGAGAATTATATATATGATAATGCTGTTAGGTATAATTTTGTTAAATTTAGTTTAGTTCGGTTCTGTGGCGGCATTCCACTGTTGACGAAAGGCACTGTCTGAACATATAAAAGCACACGTATTACAAGTTAAAGTCAATAAAATATAGGCTTTCGAGCAGTTGCATATAAAATACAAAGCTGTCGTGTTTCCGCGTGTATATATGATGAACTGATTACAGACATTTCGACGTTTTTAACCAAAGCTCTGGTAGCCAACAACTATACTATAGCTTGATAAAAAAGAGCTTTGGTTTGTTTTGATCTTTTCAGGCAGTTTGGTCGAAAAAAAAACCCAACTTTTTTTCAAACACTGGACCCCCTTTGAAGAGACTGACAGATTGTGCAATATTTCCAGAAAACATACAATCCACATGCATGGCTACCGAGCCCAAGGGATCGACATCATTAGAGCGCATTAATTGTTAAGGCTTTAAACTCAGGAAAGCCAAGCTCAAACGGTACAGGTGGCAAACCTAATTAAAATGAAGTCAGTTTTATAACACTATAAATTGGTATATTGAACAGTGGGGTTATATTACCACTTAGATGTACTAGCGTCATTCCTTTCAATGTGAAAACAATTCCGAGATATAATTGGACAAAAAATGGGTTAAATTGCAGGAGCAAAATTCAAGATTGTGAACAATTATAAAAAAAGATAGCTAGTCACAGTTAACAACTGCAGTTAGTGCGAAAGATAAACCATTAAGATCGGGTATTATGTAGGGTTAGCTACTATTTAAACAGTGGTTAAAAATAATTACTCACAGTTTTATACAACCGGCTCGAGATCGTCTTCTTCAGAAATGCTAAGCTATCTCATCGCTTAATTATTTTAGTTTGGTTCCAAATACAATATAAATGCTACAGACATATAATGCATACTGTATATTGTAAAGGCAGCTGTGTGATGAAGCTATTCTAGTGTGGCACCCACGATATTCTAGTCCATTCTATAGGCTATTTACAGAGAGTAACAACACCCACACCATAAGTTGATGCTATATATTGTTTCGTGAGTTTCTGTATGCCAAGAAAGCTAACCAGGTCTTGAGGTCTGGCTTGCTTTCCCAGCCTGTCATATTCCCATTCGGGGGTCTTCCGTGCATGAGAACGAAAATCGTCTGGACCCCACTGTAAAAAATTCTGGTTAAATTCCAGTGAAGAGTTTTGTCCTATTCTGCGATGTATAATGGACCACTAGGAATGCAGAGTTATTCAGCATAAAAAAATTAGTTTATAGTTTAGATTTTCTCTTGTAGTAACAACTTGACCAAAAACAGGTGACTTTTATTGGACTTCGAGAAAGTATTAACAGTTTAGAATTGATAGAGCTATCTATAGTCGCGATAAACGTTCCAACACGACTAAAATAATTTGTGGCAGCATTGCGGTTAAACGAGGTCGGAAACGAACACTACAGCACTATTTAATGTGGTGCAATAATACAAGGTTTCCTGATCTTAGAACGGATTTTATCTACAAGCTTAACCAAATGAATGTAAATAAATCGATGGTTTCGTTTTCTTAATATTAATCAAGGCTTGTTTATGTGGGACATTAGTAGCTAAATATTCCTTTAATGTCCTAATTTATTAGTTTGATCTATTGTAACATGTAGCTATTCTAATTCTTAGTCTAGTCCCTCTGTAAATTTAATATTTTTTTGCACACAGTAAAACCCCGCATATATGCATGAGAACCTAGATTTTCCAAGTTAGCCTAAACAGGTTCTTTAGTTCATATGTAAATGGTGCTTACTAGCAAATTAGCTAAACAGGTCCTCACTATAAGGTTCTTATTTTCTTAAGAGAAAAGCGACTCATCAGTAGGAAGGTATGGTAAACGATTAGTATATAAATTATGCACAAATGTTCTAAATAATGACAGTATATATGCACTATACCAACCCCCTATATACATTTTAAAGCTACACTGATTGTAACTTATGAGTTAATTTTGATTTTACATTTGATAATATAAGAATCTGTTTTGAAATTCTAGCCTGAATAGGTTATTATTTAAAGGGGGTTTAAATAAAGTATTTTTACAGTTTTGTTATAAATAATGAGTTGAGGGTCTCATCATTGTTGTCCTATAGATTTCTGCCATCTAACTCAGTTTCCTGTTACCAATCAATTACCATGATTATACACATTAACAAGTAATGCTGGCCCATGTTTCATTGCATATTTCCATTGATTAGATTATGCGAATTATTGAAAATAAATGAAACCTACAAGGAGGTGCTAATTTTTCTTTTCAAATTTGACAACACAGTTTCCTCATGCTACGTCGAGTAGGAGGTGGTGTCGTCTCATATCTGTCGACAAAAGGAACTGAATGACGGTGGCAATTTTTCCTTGTTTCTATTCCTGCCCTTGGGAGACCGTAATTATAACAATGAAAAATGAACAATACAACGGTGAATTTTGGAGTTAATAAAGGTGTACCTTCTTGGTAATGTTTAAAAAGGATGGAGGAAAATTAAAATAAGAGTTTGGGTTAGTATTAGGGTTAGTGTGGGGATTAGGGTTAATTAGGTGTGGGATAAGATTTAGTATTGTTGCAAGTGGCTGGGGTCTTGATTCTTTTACGTTTTAATGATCTTAAAAACTGGCGGCCATCTTGAAAACCTCTAGTCCACCCCCTTAAGCCACGATCGTGTTTTCTTCCATGGATCAATTTTCCAGATATTTAAAATGCAGTAATCAAGTTGTTAATTTAACCAGTAGTAGATTGGCTGTTCGATTCTGGGCCTATAATTAAATTCTTCGCAACTGATTCTGGTCGGTCTTCGTCTATTATTATTCTATGATTTCTATCAAATGAGATGCCAAAAGGCAAGTTCAAGTGAAAATTAACATAGGTCACCAACTGTGAAATTTATCATTGAATTAGCAAATTTATAAAAGAGTTTCATTCTGTTGAGATGAAAATCTGGTTGTTGGAGTATATCCAGTTGGTTTACATCATAAATGTCGAAATGATCATAAAAATAGGTACGCATTGCGTACATGGGTAAACCAACGGAAGTCGGAATTTCAAAGCATATATATGGCTTTCCAGCAAAGTCACAATTGTTTTAAATCGTAAATCGTAAAATAATACTCAACATAAGAATTTTTGGGAGAACTTGGTGTCGTGAGTAAATCGATACGCATTAGACAAGAACGTCATTCACCGGTTTTACATTAAGTACCTTAGTGGTAAGGATTATGTCAGATTGTGCATCCCGTGTCAGTGATGACCCCACACAATGAACATCATTTTGTTTCGAAATATCTGTCATGAAATGTTGACGTTAGCCAAAAAAGAAGCTTAGAACGTGATAGAACCAAGCACCATTGCCTAAAACGATGATATATATTTCGAATGAAATGCCAGCACAGTAGATTGAAATGTTTTGTCCCGAGGATTAATTCGGATAATGACGCCTAATGTGTCGTCTTAGGGATTAGGAAATACTTTCCTGCATTTACCAATTCTGTTTGTTTTGTTTCAAAAATCCTTTAAATGATTTGTCTTGTATCAACTGACAAGAAGTTCAGTATGACAGTTCCTGTGCAATAAGTTTCATCTAGTGTTCTGAGGCGCCAGATGGTGTGATCAACTTTCAACAATTTTGACACTTATGAGAGAGAGCAAATAGTATTAAACGTTGTATTTACTATCAAATAAGGAGTAATGGGGGGGGGAGAGGGAGGAGCCCCTTCAACATTTTAATCGTGGCAGAAACAATCTTTGAAAGTATAACAAATGTTTGCCAATTCATTAAGATTTGTCATTGTTCTATAATCGAAATACAGTTTTATGTCTTAATTATTTCTATTCAAATTTTGAAGGTCAGACCGTTCAGAATGGTATTCTGTCTAATGAGCTCTGGAGTGATTGTATTTCCTTGTCTTAATATGCTAAAACTATATATTTTATAACATCACTTTATAAAATACTGGAAATCGTGTGTTTCAAAACCCATGCAAGAATAGAAAATTTTCATGCGCCAAACTTGCCCTTCCTTGAAGAACCACGCTTGTAAGGTCATGCAATTACATATTATGAGAATAATTCATCACTATATGTCAAATAACTGTCTAATTTCCTTGTAATTAAAGTTGATCACGACTTATGAAACCCACGTCCTAACCGAAACAAACTTATTCTCAACATTTGATTAGAATTTCAGCACCAAACAAGTTACAAGATACTGTGCTATAAAAAGTTATGGTTTCTATAAAAAATTATGTGAAGCATTTAATTTCTCCCTATGCTCCATCTAAATACTGTTATATTCTGACATACGATTTTGGTTATCCGGTTTCTGAAGTAACCGCGCAAACGAACCAAAATAGGATTCAGCCCACATATATGTTTGAAATCCTGCTGCAAAATAACCATGTACAGAGATAAGCGCATTATCAAGAAAGTGCTAAATTAGCATAGTGTGCACGATATTCAATATCATTGGAAAGAGGAACTATGCCCAAGTTTAAGAACCTTAAGTTATAAGACTTGAAACTAATATATTTATAAGCTTGCGCGAACAGGTTCGATCCTGCCCCCTGTTGACGAAAATTGTAAAGTGGAACAAAAAACTCTTTATTTATGACCATTGTCAGTCATATACATTTTGTAGTAAATGCTTTACTTATATGACAATTCTCACATGATACATATAGCAGAAACCGCTTATACTTCGTGCTGCGAGTAATTTCAAGATCATATTGGTGACTTCAGGATGACGTATGGTGATTAGCAAGTAAGGTCAGCAAATCTGTGGAACGGCCTCTCATCGCAATACAAGAGTTATACATCAATATCTGTATTTAGTTCCAGACTCCGCGTAAAATGTATAAAGAACGACTGCTATCTTATAGCCCTCAGTCCTGGCTGTTCTTAACATTAAAATAACCCATGGTTTCCTATTCATGTAATGTGTTTGGTCGATGTATAGTTATTTATTAGGAGTTAGGTGCCAATTGGGACGCAAGTCCTGTTCCTGGCAGTAAATAAACCAATCTTGTTTGTATGTAAATGAATTGTGACAAATCAAATTAGATTAATTAAATTAACTTCAGAAATGCTGACTCTTAATTTAAGGCTGGTTAATTACACCATCGAAAGTCTCGAAAGTTTCTATGATCACAGGAGGAATTTTGCATATAGGTAAGTTTTGAAAGATTTTGTATAAGAAATGTTTGAGGGAATTGACTCTGCTGTGTTAAACAATGAGTGAGTTCCCTGAAAAATTACTTACAAATCCTTTAAAATTTACCCATGCAAAAATCCTACTGTGATCACAGAAACTTTGATAGTGTAAGCAGACCTTTATAGAAATTTAAAGAAAAGAAAACCAAATATATGTCTTTTATCTATGAAAAGGCTAAATCCCTGCGCATATTTTCACCGAGCTGCCGGTATTTGGAGGTGACTAGCGAGAATTCTAGGTATCACTTTATTAAATCTAGCGTGATGACTACATAACACCGTAGCACATTGTGTTTTATTACAAGATTATAGTAATCTTGCGCGTTCTACCTTCCAGATGTCACAGTAGTGAAATTGACATGACCTTTTGAAATTGACACTGCGAGATACGTTTATGTACGCCGGCAAATTGTCATGCATATCAAACGATGCATGTGATTGTGTTTATCCTGAGCAAACAAAACTTATCTCAGCGTGTGAGAGTTGGTCAGTTAGAATGAAAGACAAATTGACTCATTGCTCCTCCCCAGATTGAGTGGTGTACCCGATTTAGAATATGAGATACTTCGTTAAATATGCAATGTTTACCTAACCATCGAAGGTGATATATACTAAGAATATATTCATAAAAGTCCAACGAGTTCAACACCGTGGCAATTGATACGCCAGGCGGAAATCTTAGTTTAAAGATAAAGAGCAGAGCCCAGCAAATAACTTTAAATCCAAACATATTAATAATCCAAACATAAAATTTTTCACTTTTATTATGTTTGGATTTAAAGTTATTTGCTGGGCTCTGCTCTTTATCTTCAATTAAACTGAGTTCAACACCGTCAAATTCAGAAATTTCTTTCAAATTTCCTTCAGTAATTGACAGATTTAGATCGAGGACGCGGACGTCAAAGACGGCGTGGAAATGGCGTCAAAATGGCGTGGCATATCCATACATGGGCACAACACGCCATTTTCACGTCCTGGTTCCGCGACCTCGATCTAAATCTGTCTATTGCTTCATACACAATTCTACATCTCACAAGAGAGTTGGCGGAATAGTTTATAGCTGAATTTCAATGCTTCATCATATGAGCCCACCTAAACCATCTTAACCAGGAAACTCTCCACAGTGAGATCTACATGCCCTTTGTCACGCATATAAAATTCAATTTGTTCATAATGGAAACTTTATTAAATGTTTTTCTTTACATACATATACAATCGTAAATCTCTCTCATAAAGGTAACTTACGGTTGGCTATTTGAATCACAATTATACTAAACTAAAATAACAGAACAAAGTGCATGCAATATATATATATATATACAATGAGATAAGTCAAATTGTTAGTAAATCCGGATTTTCCCATTCCTTATTTCGGCAACAAAAAATGTAATATGTAGTTCTAATAGCAATAGTCATCATTTTCCTAACGCAGTACATTTGGTGGGTTTTGTCAAGACCAATACTATCTAACATGTCTAAAAATGTATAACATTCTTCTGCAAAAATACCTAAAGAGCTGATGGAGAGGTTTATAAATTTAACTTGGTTAAAATTTTTACCTAGCTGTCTCAATAATTCTCTATATTTATCCTTCTTCCGTTTTACGTTGTTTTTGAGGTTTGTCTCATAACCAGTGGTGAGTTCAACCACATATAAGGAACCATTTGAGCACGATAATAACAAATCTGGGCGATACGTATCACCAGTAAGTATTGAAGGGCTTTTGAATCCATTTAGGTCGGCGTAGAGAGTAGAACCGTCAACAGTTTCTAACTGATGAGCAAGAAAGTTCAGGACTGAATTGTGTCTCCACGTAAATCGGTCGAGATAAAACTGACATCCAGCTACTATGTGTAGTAATGTTTCAGGGCTAAGACAAAAAGAACAGTCTGAATTTGAAGATATTGCCCATCTGTTTAGGTTTTTACGCGTCGGAAGAGAGTTGTTAATGTAACGAATGGTAAAGTTGTAAATGTTTTTCGGGAGCTTTGATTGGGCGACGGACCACACCTTGCTAAGCTGAGGTAAAGCGAACTTCGTGACGCTGCAGAAAAAGGATCCTTGACTGGTTAATTGGTTTAGGAGTAATAATAATAATAATAATAATAATATTAATAACTTTATTCATAACAAAATGCCAATACTGGTACATAATGAATACATAACATTGTATAAAAAGTATTAAATCACAAAATCGTTGACTAGTATATTATAACTAAACAGGATATATAAAATACTGAATTATTTTATAGTTGAGAAACGAGCCAGTCCATCTCAGTCAAGTGGAATAAAATTTTCCATGCACACATCACTATACTAGAACGATAATATGCTTTAAATTCCTACATTTTCATCGAACTGCTAGAAATCATAATCCAATAGACTTGGATTTAGATTTTATCCAGGGGTACATAAAGATATTTATGCGCGAGGCAGCAAACTATTCTTGACGTGTTGTGGTTAGGCTCCAACTAGAGTCCACTCGACCCAGCCTTTCGCGCGATGTATGTATTGTCGAGTCTGTTCTATGTATGTTTTTTATACGACCGGATGTTCGAACAAGATTTTGCATTGCGCACGCATGTTTCCGTGCATGTGATAAAGAATATCAAATCCTTTTTCAAATGCATTGACGTGCTAGAATTTTGTGTCTTCATAGTTAATTATCGAATACATGATTTGGAAACCTGTATTTGGAAACCTGTACATGATTTAGAATATTATTTATAAAAGGTGTGTCTTGATGCAGAAATTATAATTAATCTGTCCTTCCTTGTCATATGAAAGTCTATTGTATTTCGTAATACTAGAATTTTCCGTAATATAGTACTGTCTTCCGTAATCAGTAGAACAATTGGATTTCCAAACCATGTCCATATGTCATTTACATAGCATCTCAAATACTTATGGATAACCGATTCTAGCTCCTTTAATCGCTTAAGCTTTTAAACAGACAAATGGTAAGTTCGGAAGATTTTCGCTTTATTCACACGGAAGCTCTAAAACAGACATTCTGCAACTGTAACTAGTGTTTGTATCAGTATTGCCTAAATCCACATGCAATAAAATTTTTATCAAAATATTGCTATTTTGATACATGACAATGATAGCTTTAACATGCATGCCAGGAAACTGATGGTGTCAGTCTGATCAAGTGCATTATATGTGGACAATGTAGACTATGCCCCGTTGGACTTCACAATGAATACATACTCTTAAACATTTCAGATTTGCTTGATTACATTTAATTAATGCGGAGCAATACGGTTTACTTGATCTCAGAGCGGATTTTATCTATAAGCTTAAACAAACAAATATATCACTCGTTTCGCCTTTAATATTCATGACTTGTTTTTGTATGTTATATAATGAGAGGCAAATCTGTGGAGACATTGGTAGCTAAGCTGATCAATTATATATAAGTATTTCTCTGTAATTTAAATACGTTTTAAAGTTTGTTTGTTTAATATTAATAATAATAATATTAATTTACATTATTTATATTTCATGGTATGATAATTATAATATAAAGATAGAGTTAATATATTAATTCTAATTATAAAATGGTTCTAAAATATATATTTGTTTTTACAGTTTTTACAGAGTTTTACTATTCCGGCTGACTGAAATGCGCGGCACTATGTATATAATTATAATCTACTTAGTTAGTTTTATCCAATTGAATGTAAGACGATACAGGTTCGGGAATCAATAGCCACTATTAAAGATAAAATGTTACTGATCCACAGGAGGAAGGAGACATTTTTAATGTGCTTCAAGTAAACCATCTGGCAATCCTCTTTCAACTCTAAAATGACTCTTAACCAACATTAACCAGGCATATTTAGAAGTTACAAGCGAAACTGTACAGCCGTGAAAAAATGAATATTCTAACATACGACAACATTCTGGGAACGATGGCATTGATGTAAGGGTATTCACGTAGTTGCGTGGCTTGGAAAACGGGATTACGAATGGAATATTTTGCGTCAAATTCACAAATTGCGCAAAAGTGGAGCGTTTCAAGGGCTGAGTTAGGCTTCCTTTTTCGTATCTGCTATCGGATTACGTGTCAATGTACGTCAGGAGTTTCCTTTGATAGTTAATGATCATGTCAGTCAACTTCTTGTGGAATTGCAAGTGCTCACGTCTTAATCATATGAGGAGTCTCTATACTGATCTAAGACCTTGTTCAATTAAAGCTCTATTACAGTTTTAAATCTGGTAATAACTTGCGTGCTGTTTGGACTGCGCCGCTTTCGAACGAGTTCGTGTTGAAGTTTACTTCCTCGAGATGACAACTTTCAATTTATTGTCTTATCAATATATGTTGTTTAGGCACTCCTTGGACTAGACGATTTTCAAATGGCTGCATTCCCGTTCAACAGAATGGCGCCGTACCCAGTACACGGTATTGGTCTTTCGCATCCTAGCTATGAGCTTATGAGTCCGATGTCATCAGCAATGGGTAAGTGCATAAGCATACAATTTTAATACCTTATTTATATAATGAATATAATATTCGTTAAAAGTATATACATGCAACCCCCCACGAGTTATTAAAACACGCTGTGTAGAAGTGCTTCGGTCCTTCCTGTCCTAATCGGTATAGTCTTTGTATTAAAATTGTCCTGGATATAGACGCAACGGGGTTTACTAAAAGTAAAGAATGAAGCAGCGCTGTCTCTTGGGGTTGTGTATACGTCAATTATATAATTATGTACGATTTCAATCTTGCCTCCAGGGGAAGGTTGTATAAGTAAGTTTCTTGTTGAAAAATCAGTGTTTGTAGCAGTTTGTTATATAAGAGGTGTTATATATATTCAAACACCAGATGGATGGATAAGCTTGACTTCACACTAACAATGCCAACTGCATAAATTGTATTCGCTTTCTAATAGTGAACACATAGTACTGGCGCTTTGCGCACCAGTATAACCAGTCACCCATAACAATTCACAAACCCAGAAAATGATTAGATACCAGTTTCTATATATGTATCCGAGATAGCTACAGTAGAGAATGTTGAATTTACGTATTACTCAAGCATTGACAAAACCGTTTTATCTTGACGCTTCAGTTTACAGATTTGGGGTATGCACGAATTTTTTCAGTTAGAGGTGATAAAAATTCCATTACTCCATAGCTCATTCTAAGATCTGCACAATACAATCAAGCTCACTTGCCTAAACCGTGAAGGATTTTGAACCCATTTGCTTTTCTCTTGTATTAAATTGGAAATAAACTTCATTAATATTAAACAATAAACATACATTTCGTTGATGCAGTTTTGAAAATATATTTGAAGTATTATATGTCGTGATTATGCAAAACTTAAACTACAAACAGTTAGGATTCTTGCATTGCGCATTCCGTGTTCGTTTCTGGGCTAAAAACCGCATTGATATCATTATCAACTCAAAGACCTTTGCAGCAGATTTTCGCTAGATATAAAAGACGAATGAATTGGATGGCTTTGAGCAAAATTAAAGTAACACTATGTTCTGAGATTGCTACGGCGCACATAACACGCGTCAGGATTATCAGTGTTGTTTGGCTCAATAGTTGTTAATCCTCGTGTAATTGTCCTTCACGGACATGGTTTTGCGTTTGAACTATCTGAAAAATAGTCTTGGACGTTTCGAGCTGGCAAAGATTATTACTTCGTCAAGACGCTGTGCATGATTTTTTATAACGCTATATTTTTCAGCTAGTTCAGAACTAGTCAATCATAAAAATTTCAATCACAACAGCAAAATTGGTCCAATGCGATAATTGGTTAGGATATTGCGTGGATAATTCTTGATTATACTATGTTGCAATTTGTTGGCATTAATAAGGAAAGTGTACACATGATAAGCGGGTTTTGATCGACTGATTTTACTTTTCTGTATCTTGAACTAAATGAATACAAAGCAACATTGCTGATTCTTCGCAATAAATTATAATATCAATCGTTTAACAACGCGCATTTCGCGCAAAATGATAAATACATGAAGCAACTATAGCAAGCATAATCATGTTTATATTAATTTCGTGAGGTGGAGACAACAATTGATTTGTTGAATTTTATGATTGCGTGAAACTGCATATGTAAACAAAACAATTTCTGCTTCCGTCTTTATTTAATAATACAATAATAAACTAAAAAAATGCACGAATTGCCAAATCGTTCTTTCCAGAACGGAAATTAAAATAGGTAAATGTTTCAACTAGAATTCTCGACAGGCCATCAAACGTTTGCTTTTGGTATGGCTTATAATTCCTGTCCCGGCTTCGCCCTAGCTAGCATATGTGCATAAGCACGTCTTTGTATTCTCTTCTGGAAGTGACAACCATGTTTGACTAAAATATTCATTTGTCAATCTATGTAAACACAAGATAATAGGCTACATGTTTGTAAAGGAGGCTTACACTCAATTTTACATGCTAAACGCGCGAAACAAGGTGATTTAGACATATACTCTGACAATTTCATAGCTGTTTAAGCTGAGATAAAAAAATCATGAGAGTTCATGAGAGCTGGCAGTCACGCGATCTTGGTTAGCTGTTCTTAATGCTTTCCCAACGCTATCATGTATTCTATTTAAGTTTCAAACATATATAGTTCAAAACATATGGTTCTAGAACTTGTAATGTTCCCTGTATCAATGCGTCACTGCTAAGGAACCGTTCATTATTTTAATATGCCCGGTGTTGGTCCCGAAGAGATATGGGTTGGATAATCAAGTTTTTAACTAGCTCATGGATTGGGTAGAAAAAATTACGGCTGTCTGTCAGCTATAAAATAAAACCAAAATTACTATGGCTATGCATTGGAAAATATGAAGAAAAATGTGTACAATACATTCTGTACCAAAATAGACCATCACTGATTGAGGAAGGACTCTATCATTGATCAGCAGACACGTGATTGCTTTGACACACTCAGTGAGTGTGAGTGAGCTTTTAGAATTTTAGGCAACTTGATTTCTGTCACCATAATATTGTGTGTTTAATTATTATGAAGTACAGTAACACATGGGTTGGGTAAACATTATTTTGACCAATGTTGAGGTTGGGTTAATAAATAAAAAAATTACACTGTTTTTCCCAACCCCAGGTATAAATAATGAACGGTCCCCAACTCTCGTCAACGCTCATCCTTGTTTGACTGGAGCTGTAATAATTTGCATTCGAGAAGGAATTGAAATTAGAATAGATTCACAAAATGCGCGAATCGCCGCATTCTTGGTATATCGTGAGTTCCGTTTGAGATAATTTGTAGTGCCAGGAAATGAGGTAGTTCAAGGGTAGAGATAAAATTTTAGCTGATAGCTTCAAGGAATAGAAGGTCCTTAAATTTACGTTAATCGTGTGAATGTAGATTTTGAGATTTTGAAGGTAGCGCGTGGACAAGCGCTCGCGATAACGTTGCGTTATGTATATACCTCACATCCATTCACCAAATTATGATCTTGGTACATTTCAAAATTTAATCTCGTTTACACGTATTTGTACTTTAAGATTAAAAGATTTGTCTTCAGAATATTTTAGTTAGTCTGGTTACGTTGCAGAAATTATAAGGAAATATCTTTGTCAGCAAATGTATTTGAGTTAATCTTCTTATTTGGGGAAAGCACCATGTGCATTGATTTGGTAAAGATTTCTACCTGCAGTCAATCCAGATCTTCAACAATATAAGGGGATGTTTACATAATAATCTTTATTCCAAACAAAATACCATTAGAGGTATAAAGAATACAAACAATTTACAAAACATGATTCCACTTTGCCGGGACGAGATGTGAAACGAGATATATTGAAATAAGTCACGGTGCACGATTTAGCAAAACTACATTATTTTCCTAGTGGCAGTACTAGTGATAGATCATCGTATAATTGTGAAGAAAAGGTTGTTCAAGCAGCAATAATAATCTTCTTGAACTACGAGATCTAGTTCTTTTAACCGGCGTTTGAACTTTCGTGAGCCTGTAGCATAGGGATTTATTTCGATACATCAAAATCATCTCGCCTTAATTCCATGCGTCCCGGCTATCTGGGATAATGTAAACGAGCGCCTATATGACTAAGTTTAATTTCAGAACTCAATCCTCAAATATAAAAAACTAGTTTCATATCAGTATTCTAATAGATACATGCACTTTTAAACCTTGACACGTTTTTATGAAGTTAAGCTTTAAGTAGAAATGAATAAATATACTCAGAGAAATTTCTACACATGGAAAAGATAAACCTGAGACTGAGTTATAGATACACATTTAACCACAGTGGCAATATTATGCAATGTACATGTATTTAAATAACTAAGCCGCCAGCTTATTGCAGCACGTTAATATTATAGTGGGCACAACATTTTTAGAACACGAAGATGATCTCTTCCTAAAAATATCCGGCTTGAGTTTTGAATTGTATGCATTAATGCTTCGTTTTGCGTCTTTCCTCCCATAATCCTATGTATAGTATTATTTGGCCTGCTTTGTTCAAAATAATGATCAGTTTAACAACAAGTATATAGTTCATAGTGGATCTATTCTCATTTCAATCTCTTCCAATACAAAGAGTTTGGCAGTCACGCATTACAGGGGAGATTTCACATTTCAATCTTTTGTTTGGAATAAAGATTATCAAATAACTATATCAAACATGAGAGCTGTATAGATCTTTCAAATCCTGCTATCATCAAGCAAGTTCAGTTTGCGTGATATAACTAAACAACTAGGTTTGTTTATTCAAGTGATTAACATATTATGACAAATGTTTTAAAACTGTCGTTTTGGTATTTTCATTAACATTTTTTATTTGACATGAATATTCTTGGCAGAAACACGACAAAAATCCGTTGCGCAGGCATAATGACTTAGTTGAAATGTCATCTATTTTACTCTGTAAGCCTGTTTGTTACTTACTAATATACTTATACATTGATAATATTCGCACAGAGACAATATATTATCACTCTGACACTATACGATATCTGCACTACAGGAAACCAACTGACGCGCGAAATGCAAATGAGATATTTTGCGCAATTGTCTGTTTCATCGTCCTCGCGACGCAACTCAAGTTTGCGCGCGTTCTTTATTAAATACTAATTACCATTATTTGCGCAATTCATCATAGGAAAATGTAATTATATTTTCATTATACGGTGTTTTAAGCTCGATAAATAGATAATAATTCAAATCCCTCCCATCTTGTCAATACCTCGCTTGTCGTTAGATAACACATTTTCTAAATTAAAACCTTCTGTGTTAAAACAATTAGGCTAAAAACTGATCCGTTTTGTGCTTGCGCGCATCCTTCCCATGGCAAAACGAGAGGTTTATCGCCTTAAATCCTTCATTTTAGCGGTTTATAAAACAATCCGCGTTTAAAGCGTTATCGATTTTGGATACTCGTAGAGATTCTATAGTAATAAAATATTAAAATATGCACTATATGCATGTATCCTAGCATATGCTCCTACACGTCGACGGAAGGCCTAGCTTGTACAGTACTAATTGGATCGACAAGGGATGCCTCTCACTGGATCTCTAGAGAGAACAGTTTGGAACGAACTGAATGGACTGTAGTTAAAAGTTTAATATCTGTTTCGTTTATAGGTCATCCACCTCGAAAACAACGCAGAGAACGAACAACTTTCACGAAAGCACAACTTGAGATTCTGGATGATTTATTTTCCAAGACACGTTATCCTGATATATTTATGCGCGAGGAAGTCGCTATGAAGATCAGCCTGCCAGAATCAAGAGTACAGGTAGGCTAAACATTGTAATTTTATAGAGAAATAATTGAAATTGTATGGTTTGGGAATTGGGAAATTGTTTTAGATAATAATCTTATCTAAGGCTAAGCTAAATCGAAGATTATGCCAAAGGTTTTGCTTGGTTGTAGCACTGTACAATCGAGTACAATTAGAAGATAAATGTACAGTCATTTACCAAAATAAACTGAGTCCGCGTGCAGCCATCTTAGCCGAAATAACCTATATACTTTGTTATAAATTATTTTGTCAGAGACATATATTTTCTCTTTTGATATTCAAAACTTGGTGCAGGCATTCTTGACAGTTTGGTAAAAAAAATAATTTGAGATTGTGTCGATAAATAACTGCGGAAAACTTGGTCCATTCCATTTACTGTGTGTTTATCATTATTTGCCCGATATAAATATTAGTTGAGGACATTTAATGGACACATTGCTAGATTTTGTGGTAGAATTGTTCTATTTTGTGGAACATAAATAAATAAATACAAGCATCAATAAATAAATTAATGCACATGGGTTTTCAACAAAACAATTATAATGTCATATTATCTTAACTGAAATTTTGTAGACTTATATACGCAGTACCCGCAGAACCTAAATTAATTCATGTGGTGTGTGGGTAAAATTAATCACTTCGTGGTCGTTATGGCATGCACTTTCGTTTGGCTCATTTCCACTATGCCTTTGGCCATGGTACCGGGCAATTTAGATAACTTTAAGTGCAAAGGCCGGATATTTTTACTGCTTTACACTGATGGCTTTCACATCACATAAATCATAAGCTCAGTATAAGCTCAATGGTATAAAATTATGAAACTGAACTCTAAATTTATACAGCTAACAAATTCATGTAAGGAATTTAATAGACACCAAAGGCAGAGAATGTAGTATTTATATTATTGCACATATTTAACATACCATCTCAGTGTTGTTGTTGTTCTTGGAGCAATAACCAAAGTGGAAATGAGCGAGTGGGGTGGGTGGGAACTCGTATATTTTCACATCCAAGCCATTAATGAGAAGTGTTAATGATTTCCTCGGGGGTAATTCATGAAATATTTTACTCATCCCACCTTCTTACTTAAAAATGCAAAAAACAACAACAGGTCACGCAAAGTCATTGAAAAAAAGTCCCACAAGAAAAATTTGATGAATGCTTGTAAACACTAGGCAAACGGAAAGGGGAAAAGTGATTTTTAAGAGCATTTATCTTCGGTTATTTTTGTAAAAATTTAAACTAACCTCATTTGTGGTGGAGAGCTCCATGAGATCTAAAATGTTTTGTCCTATAGAGAACCAGTAAGGGCATTCCTTGTTTTTCCAGTGCCCTTGCAGTATAGGGAACTTACTGTATCAAACTTACTCTATATGTCTCTTTGGCTTGTGGAAGACAACACATATACTGGCATGTGTAAATGTGCAAAAGAAAATTGTACGACTAATCTGTTTTAAATCTTATATGGATCATTCTGAACCAATATTTTTACAATTGAAAATCTTGGATATCTACAAAATTAATGATTATCTATGCAGCTTATTCATGTATCGCTTCAATTATTGTCAAAATTTGCCGGACTTTTATAATGATTACTTCAAACAAAATAACGAGCTATACAACTATAATACTCGAAATTCTACCAAGTTACATGTGAGCTATAAGAGAACAAACTATCGCAAATACACTGTATTTAACAAAGGCGTTTCTATATGGAATTGCCTTGATGAAGAAATTAAAAATATTAAATCATATTTTTCTTTTAAGAAAACTGCAAAATCCTATTACTTGATATCAGTCTAGTTGATGTAAATATTTCAGGAATATTAATGACAGTATTCTGTAATGCACTAAATATTCCTTAAACATCTTCCATATTTGTTTGTAAATAGTTTGTGTTTTTCATTGCAAATTGTCCTTATGTACATAATCTATTTTTATATTACTGAACACTAAAACTATAGGGGCCTCGTCTTAAAAGTCCAACAGGATTTCCAGAGGTCTCTAGCCCGTTTATTTATTCTTAAATATTCAACTTGTAAATATTATTTGTGGGTAAATAAAACTAATAAAAATATATATTATTGCAAAGCTTAGTGTATCAAGATAACATGGTCTGGAGCAAAAGTCATTGTATTATGTTTTTGTCGGAGTTTATGTTAATTTGTGCACGGTGATTGAACGTATTGTATTTTCGTAGAATGAAGTAATCGTCCAATAGGGATAGCTGAGATGAAACGTGCAGCCACAATAAGTAATATTTAATGGAGTTGAGACAAAGGATTTGTGCATGGTGATGTACAGTTCAACATCAAACAAAGGTCTTCTATTTTCTGGCTTTGAAGTTTGCCGGGCTTCTAGTCCATCATATCTTGACAGACTATGATCTACAGTGCTAATAATATATTGGATAGTTATATTAGTTCTAAACTGTTCTCCCTAAACTAGGTTCAGTGAGGTACATTCCTTGATGGTCCAGAAACCAGAATATATGTAGAAAATCTGCTGTGTGTTTGTTGAAAATCACTACCCCGGCACCAACGATTCTTATATGCAAATAATACAAAAAGACGATCTAATTGTTTCAACTCAATTGTTTTCTAAATATGCAAACACAAAGGATTTTTCAATCTTATCAAATATATACATTTATCACTAAAAGCTGAAACAACAGTTCGTGTGATTTTGATAAGAATTGAAGAGGTTTCCTTCCTGTGTCAATAAAATGCAGCAACGTCTGACGTATTAATTGAGTACAAGTGTTGATATATTATTGACAGAGATGTGTACACCATATTAACCAGATTTCTATCCAGGATTTAACTCCAACATAAGCTTAAAAAATTTGCTAAAAAATTACATTGACAACTGTATAACTAGCAAATCTATCACTTTCCAATATGTCATTGTTTTGATTACCTTTTTTGGTGCAAAGTAAAATTGGGTGACTGTATGTAACTAAAATATAAATTTCTACTAATTTCATTTTATACAGTACATTCATGAGAACAGCTTATTGAATTTTGTAAAAAAATCCTATTCAATCTAGAGTCATTCAAAAATTTGCCCTGCATACAATGTTAATAAAGGATTTTCCCTCGTGTATTAGTGGCATAAAGACTAGCCAATACAACTTTTACATTGACATTTAGACAAGCTTTTATGTTAATCAAACTCTATGTACATTTAAGGGAAATTGGGATTACTGAGTTATTGTACGAAAAAGATCACTTTCCTTCTAATCCTTTTTCACAACTTTCTCTAATACAATCCTTTCTTAACATCCGTGATTTTCACCCATGTTAAACTTTGTTAAAACTATAATCCCTAAAGTAAACCTTGTAACCGGTTGACGATACTTTATAAATTCCACTTTTGATCATATAAAATAGATGAAGAAAGGTAAAGTTACACGAAAGCTCGTGACAAACACCAATAAAATTTGCCACACGTCTGTTTTGTGATTAATGCAGTTCATCATGGGAGAGCAAAAGAGAATCCGGATATTTTATATGCTTTGATCTCTGCAAAGAAGGAAGCAGGATTATATCTTTTCGTTTATTTAGCGTCCACCAGACACTTTCGTGCGTGTATAAATCCAACACAATAATACCCCTTGCAGACACGAAACGATTCTCGACTTGACACGAAATGAGATTAAAGATTTCCTTGGTTAAATAAACTTGTAAAGGTCTATAGAGTCTCATCGAATTATTATGGAATTAGGACGAAACAGGATTAAAGATTTTCTTCGCTGAATAAACGTAATTGGAAAACCTAATATGCAATCTCAGTGAATTATGCGGAGTAATTCTTGACTTATGAAACAAGATTAACGATTTCCTACAGCCTCAGTCGAGGTGGAATTTATATAAAAGCATGCAGGCTAGTTGTAGTAGTTTTAATAATTTTAAAATATCCCTCCCCCTCGCCCCTAACGCAGCACTTTCAAAATCCTGTCATAGAAAATTTGGTTGTCGGCTCTAATCTGCTAATACCGGATCTCTTATAGGGAGAACAGTTTAGAACTGATAAATACGAAAATGAATCATTAAATCACCAAATAAACAGTCCATCGAATTGGCGCACATTTTTCGCACCTAATAAGCTTAAAGGTTTTGGACTTTTTCGTATTGTGATATGAGCTCAAAAGTATTTATATTGCACATTCTGAAGGACATGCGACACTAAAAATGGTTAAATAAATACAAACTCTAGGCAAGGGAGAATTGCTGGGTGATAATTGACTTACGAGTAATGATATGTGTTTTCCGTGAAAAATGTAATCTATGTAATTCATTAAAATAATAAGAAACTATATTGTACATAAAATAAAAGAATTTTTAATCCTTGGATGGCAAAACATGCCATCGAGAGCATTTTCCCATACAAATCCTATAAAATCGAACCTCATTCCTGCCATATTTTATATTATAAGCTAAAACCTTGCACTTTCGAGGTACTCATTCTATTTCTGGGATTAATTTTAACACGGCTGGAAAATGGTGTGATATGACCAATTCCCATAAAAGCCTCTTCTTTTCATTGTGTTTAGTACTCTGTTTGGTGGTAAATAAACATAATTTACAGTAGAATCAAATTGGGTTTGTTCCCTGCCATGTTTACTGAAATGAACCACGAATTTAAACACACATTTTTCACCGTTTATTTGTTAGGTTTGGTTCAAAAACCGCAGAGCGAAATGTCGTCAACAACAACAGAATGCTGATGGCAAGGCCAAGCCAAAGAAAAAGCCAGCTACACCCAAAGAAAGTGTCCCTAAAACAACCTCAACGTCACCTACTACCACCCCCTATACCCAATACCAAGCATACCCCTCAATGTGGGGATCACCAAGTGATCAAGCTATCCGTGCTCCTGCTTATCCCACGTCGGTCATAGGTAACCCTATGTGTAGCAGTTCGACCTCGATGATGATACCGCATTCCACTCCAGCTAGATATCACGCGGGCACACAAGATCGTCCCGGCTATGTTCCTATGGGTGTGTATATTAATCGTCCCATGGCCCCAACCCCCCAGCACCCGCTCGAGTTTCATGAGCCCCCAATGCAGCAGTTACCGATATCAGTGGCCAACCAGCCAAACAATGCACGAGTGTAAGAAGTACTTCACGAAAGGAATGAATTATGGACTTAAATTATAAATCTACATCAATGTCTTTGCAACAGCGAAAATTGCAGAAAAAAGATTCGAGAATCGCGTAAATGTTGCTAACTAATCTTATGCATTGATACAATTTCCGAACGAAAAAATAATAGAAACATTTCTTTGACTGGCGTGGCCGAAATGGGATAGTGCTTGTCAACAGTGATGTATAAAGACGGGCGAGGGGCATGCATCATCCCCTCCCCTTCCCTTATAGTTGCATGCCAGGGGGTTTAACCCCCCTCCCCCAACCTGAATGTATTGAAAATATAAAGACTATGCTGACGGTTAAGTGATAAACTTTTTCAGCTAGACTTAAGTCATTGGGAAGTGATTTATTAATAGGAGTAGTATGAATTTGCTTGTAAAATATTAGGTGTTTGCATAATGTAGATTGTATAAAATAGTATAGACTTACTTTCAAATTAAAGAATGTAAATTAAAGCCAAGTTAAATATTGATTGTGCGAAAAGTCTGTGTGTATTTTTGAATATATCGGCGTTGAAACAAAGGGGCAAGTGACAAGAAAACCGCCAGTTTTCTCCAGCCCTCCCATTCTCCCGCCTTAATTTTCCTGCCCGCAAGTTCTTGCAACAACCTGCTAGCTTAGCACTATTTTCCATCCAGCAAATTGACGTGACGTCATTTTTGGAAGATGGAAGAGGTGTTAAATGGCAATGTAACTGACCTCCTACTCTAACCTTTAACCTAACCCTACACAAGTTTGTTTCTAAACCAATCTTGAAGAAAAACGTTTGACGAAATGTCATTGTGAGGTCAGCGAACTAACTTCTTCCAACAAATATTGCCATTATGCGAATAATTTGTCAATTGTCACTTTGTGTGAGCCGCCATCTTGAATTTGTAATAAAGTTCTTGTTCGTTTTGTAGTTCAACTTCAACTGATAGTTTTAACCGAATATCTCAACTTTAGTTTACTATTTCTTAAGCTCTTTAGTTTAGTATGTAGTTGAATATATTGAGTTTATGTAGTGGGGTCAGAGGCCATGTACGGCACAACACACTCACAAGGCAACATCATAAGAACGGTTGAACGGAAAATGTAAAAATATTTTCGGTAGTATTGCAGTGTCGTGCATTGTCAAGCAAATTATAAACAGAATGATGTTCTTTTTAAATACAAAGTATATTAAGCATTACAAAGTATATTTCGATAACAATTCTTTTGACTGAATGTTTTAAACAACATTTATACAAAGTATACAACAACTATTTATAAAAATTAAAATGCTTACCAGCCATCCAAACGACTCGGCGAAAAACGAGCAAAAACATCCAGAAAAAAGCTGCCCACACGGTGAAAACACATTCTGAAGTCGGGCTCAATGACATAGTTTATGATAATTTGATTTAGTAAGGTCTTGACTGTGATTATAGCGCCGAAAAAAACTCAAAAGTCGACGTAACAATTATGCAACTCAGTGCAAGAAGCCTTCGAAACTGCATATAAATTAGTTTTTTTAAGACAGTTTGTCAGTTATTTGGTCAAATCCCAAGGGGGAAGCATTGTTCTGAAAAACTCAATAACGAATTTAAAATGAACTCTAAACTATTTCCCATTCTCAAAAAGATAAAATAAAGCAAGTAAATAGAAGTCAGAGAAAGAAATTGCGAATAAGTATATCGCCTGTTTTTATTTGTCCGGTGGATCATTTTTGCTAAACATTTCCAAATGGCAGAAACGCGAATCATGCTAAACTAAATCAGGCTCGTTTATATTATCTTGGAATTCTGGTTTCTTTGATGAAAGTATGCTTTGATGAAAGTATGTGACAGCGAAAACCTCTTTCAAAGATGCAATAGAAAAGATGCAATAGATTCAATATGTCCTTTGCATAAATGCTAATATAAGCCAAAACAAGATAGCATAAAGAACAGTGGAATTTTGGAAACAATGAAAGTTTTGTTATATAGAAATTTGGCAATAGACAAATGTAAGACGCAGGTAATTCATTGCATGCGCAATAAACAATAATCTACATCAATATATTCGCGCCTGTATTGTCCACAGATCGTTTTATATGAAAAAGCACCCTACCAAAATCAAGATTCAGAAACAACACACAGCACTGAACAAAATGTTAAGACATCTATTTTACAATGTTCTAGTTAATAACTTTGTACAATTAATATTAACAATTTCATTTATGATTTATGTTTCCTTTTGGTTCACAAAGGCTTACACTTTACATCCAGAATTCATAAATAAGCTAGCATAGACATAGTTACTGACGATGAAATCACTCCGAACTATAAATAATTGTGGGCGCCATTCCATGCAAGGTCACATGGTATAGGGTGGGTTTCACAGAGGGTTTTACCATCGTACAGAAGATGATGGTCAACCGTCAACCTATACAGTTATCAGTGAGAAAATTGTGCAAATTCTCTTCATTATACAGTGTATGTAGAGCCTTGTTTTGGTAGAAAATAAATAGAGAGGATAAATGTAATTTTGGTTCTCCTATTAAGGCCTGTTCATGTGAGCCAGGTTTTTTCCCGGGAAGCCCAAATTTCTATGTTCATATTCTAAATTTTACTTAAACAAACTACACCTTGTAATACTGTACGACTTTAATAGTGTCTGTTTATTTTCCAACTATGCTCTTCAATACTACATTATAGATCAAAATCGGCAAAAAACTCCAATCCAGTCAGGTAGAATAAAGCCTTCATATGGAAAATTTTACCCCACTTGACTGACATCTCGCCTAGGGCGAGGTGAGACCTCACCTAGCCTAGAGCTGGCTCGTTTCTCATATGAACACAAATGCGTTAAAAAAAGGCATGTAGACTCAGGAGAGTCTCCCAGGCTCATATGAACAGGTCCTGTGTCGACATATTTCTATAAAGTTGACAATCATCTCTTGCTTTGTAATGTGTCCTGAAACCCACCAACAATCATTGTCCCTTTAAAGCGTCGTCCCCGTGTCTTCTCGCGTGCCAAGGTGTCTTAAGCCCCGTTTACACTACGCTCAATTTTTGGTACGGCACGGATAAAATTGGTACCCGTACCACGTTTTTGGTTCTTGGACTACCTATTTAGGTAGTCCAAAAACCAAAAAAAGTGGTACGGTACCAAAAATCGAGCGTAGTGTAAATGGGGCTTTACTGTCCCTACACGCCACGCCACATTACTCACAGTCAGCGAAGTCAGCACGTGACTAACATGTGCTATTCGTGTGTTAAACACGTGAAGGATTACTGAGACCACCCATGGGCAACGGCTGCCCGATAGGCAGGCCATGTTCTAAATAGTCATATTGAGATGAGGTCGAACTGGGCGGGTTAAAATGCATGCTCATTGGCATGTACGAGTAGTCCTGGGTCGAGGAACAATACCGGGGTGGCGGCGGGGGGCCTGGGACTAGCATAGATGACGAGCTGCCCATCGACATTGAGCTGTTGATGATGGATGGAGCGTAAGGCGGGGGGCGTTGGATAACCGACTGATCTCCGACCGGACTCCAGATGTTTGCTCCACAGCTGGGGTACTGAGGGTAACCCGAGGTAACCGGGATCTTTGGAGGATCTTTAGGGGTAGATGGTTTCTTCTTTGGCTTCGGTTTTCCTTCGCTATTCTGCTGTTGTTGTCGTACTTTGGCGCGGCGGTTTTTGAACCAGACCTAGGGGGGAGAAAAGGAAAGGTTATGAAGAGGCCAGACATTATAGAACCTTATACATGGACGTCTTTTACTATGTGAGATTGAATTCGAATAGGAGCAAACCGTCCGCATTTCCGTTGTACGTTTCCAGAATCCGTTTGTCCGTTTCCGCGTTTCACAAGAGCGTTGCGTGCCTAACATGTCTGGCGCTATCTCAAAATACATTGTTTCCTTGCAAGCTTCCCATCTTTCAATGGCTAATTTCTTGGAACGGAAGTGTTTCAGAATCTTTTCATGATAATTTTTCAACATGTAATTTCGTGACTCCGCCCCGATGAACTGTCGACCTTTATTTTTACCATATATCAAGTGAAAAATGACTTTAATCACCAGCAGCGGGGTTTGAAATTCGTACTTTTATGGACCGTAAAGTCTTAATCGAACTCGCATTTTCGGGTTTCTTGGCCGAGTTCAAACCGCGTTAAGCAGTACCGAACATAATGTAAATTACCATACATGTAAGCCGATTATGTTTGATAAAACGAGGGTCATTGCTCGCAATTTGCACTAGGATACATAAACCACAGCCCTATGATATGCAATAGATATTGTTTCTATGTTGACACAAAAATGGTATACAAGAAGTTTAGCCAAAATAGCCTAAAAAGACGCCCTAAACAAGAGTAAACTTCTCTGTTAATTAAAGACTCTAGGCCAGTTTATTTTTGCTGCGATTCTAGTGCAATTGTCTTCTGCTGATGGATGTAAACGAGTGGACGAGTTATGAATGTTAAATGATGAGAGATACATATACTCAGGACAATGATAACTCATCCACTCGTTCACATTCATCAGAAGTAGAAAATCGCACGAGAAATCGAGGCAAAAATTGCAAGTGTAAGCGGGCCTTCTCTATCTGTCCAAATAATTATTGTCACATGATTGATTTCTGTTAATTGGTGTATAAATACCGTTAGGTGTTTGCCATAACCATATTTATTTTGAAATCGCACTAGCCCGCCTTTATTTAACACTCACTTCAGGCCAGTTGCTTATCATCAAAACACACATGATTGATGAAAAGAGGAAACTCAATTTCCCTGACAATATGATGACATGTCTTGTCTATTTATTGATCTTGAGCTGGCCAAAGAATCATGAATGCTGATATTCATGATCAAATCATGGATATAGCAATAATCGGCAATATCAACTGTTCTCCTTATAGAATTGATTCTAGGAGGAAACCTAAACTACACTAACTTTATTTATACTTGATAGCTCTATCCAGTAAGAGTCATCCCTTATATATTGCTTCAGTGCTACTACAGGAGGAAACCTAAACTAAACTAAACTAACTTTATCTATATTATTTGATAGCTCTATCAATTCCAAACTGTTCTCCCTAGAGGTCCAGTAAGAGTCATCTCTTATTGATCCAGTGTTACTACAGGAGGAAACCTAAACTAAACTAACTTTATTTACACTAGATAGTTCTATCAGTTCCGAACTATTCTCCCTAAAGTTCCAGTGAGGCCACCCTTTATTGATCCAGTATTACTACATGCAGGAGGAAATCTGAAAATTATTATTATTTTACTGGATAGTTCTATCAGTTCCAAACTGTTCTCCCTACGGGTCCAGTAAGGGCCACCCTTTATTGATCCAGTGTTATTAATGGAGGAAACCGATATACTATATAGCGGTGGGAAATTGCAATTAATCTTTCTATCGAAGCAACTAGTTTGTGTTTTACATAGATACCGTAGATAAGCAAATTCATGGCTCCAGAAATTCTGCCGGCTACCTCGTTACGCAACAATTAACTGCAGATATGCAGGTTGACGTGGACAAACGTGGTTTTTAATGGGATAATGGTTCGATATGTTTACCTTGTCACAGGAAAATGTAAATAAAACATTCATGTTACTATTTTGACAAAAACAAAGGAAGTTCAACTTGAACTTGTTCAAGGCTCTGCAGATCGCTTCAATGTCAAGGCATTCAAGCTACTGTATTCAAGGTTTAGAACTTGTTTCAGCGACTTAAACAATGTCCCAATGTTCTACTACATGACATTACGATATAATGATTCACATGTTTCACCTATATATGTTTACTACTACAACCAACACTGAATGTTTTTTTCAAAATCATTACTATAGAGTATGGAAATAGTATGGAAATCCAATTTGGCATACTAATTGCATTTCCATATACTATGGATATAGTGTGGAAACGGTGATGCGATGTGAATTCCATAGTAAGGATTTCAATATGTTTTCCAATGCATAGTTTTGATATTAAATATTTGAAAACGAAGATTACTAGTGTCTAGTCTAGGGAATTAGAAGACCAGTATAGGGCCTACCCCCTTTATATTGTCATTGCAAGAGAAAACCAAAGAAAACTCGCGGTGTTTGGTTAGAGTCAACTGGGAGGACTCTTCTAACATATAAATAAGGTAGAATTACAATCGTTAGTACTTAGTACCACTGCGTATTGCATGAATCGAAGCGTACTCGCAGAGCACATGTGCAGTCGAGAACAATATGATGACTTTTCTCACGTACAAACGCTATCACCTCATTGAAAGAAAGTGATATAATCCTATGAGTTGTTTTATTGTCGCTTGAAGAAGCAGATGGTGCCGGTCGCCGTCAAAAATGTTGACACTTTATTGCAGCAAGAAAATTAAGCTCTTTCAAATACAAGGCTATATATATACTGTAAATAATGCAAAGAATAAACATTTTCTCATTTTGATAACCGCCTGGTTATGAGAAGATAACACTGGATCAATAAAGAATGACCCTTACTGTTACTGGACTTCTAGGGAGAACAGTTTATAACTGATAAAGCTTTCCGGTGTAAATAAAGTTAGTTTCGTTGAGGCGCATATAATAGACAGCTTTAGATTTGGGTTCATTTCACTACGAGTACGAGATGTTGTTTGCACATGCTTGGTTATCTTCTTATGCTATTATTACCTTCCCACGCCATAGGCGGCCATGGTCTCGTAGTCGATAGTAGTTTTACTGCGAGGGTTGTCAGTTTGGACTACATGGTGGACATTATACCTCGAATCCTCGTAGATTTTTTCTTGTCCAATTAGTTATTTCATACCAAAAATCTACGGGAATCGAGCTAGTTTGATATAGGGTATAGCTACCTGAAAAATACAAAGACAAAGAGGACTTCGTCTTCGTTCGAAAGTCGAAGTTCTTCTTGCATTTATATCCAAATAAACGAATCTCGTAGTCGTACTGGAACTCAAATATAAAGCTCTCTAATTCCTGCAACACGACAGCGCTTTGTGAAATTCATACTGTAGAGCAAGGATCATAAACGTATTATAAAGGAACTGACCTGAACGCGAGATTCTGGCAGGTTAATTTTCATCGCGACGTCTTCGCGCATAAATATATCTGGATAGCGAGTTTTTGCAAAGAGAGCTTCTAGGATTTCCAGCTGAGCTTTCGTGAATGTGGTTCTTTCTCGACGTTGCTTTCGTGGTGGGTGATGACCTGGGGCGAATGAAGCTTTAGAATAAGACGAGAACATGGTCATGGGTGTATAAAATGACTATAGGAGAAAACCTATAAACTATAAAGCTAATTAACTTTATTTATACCCAGAAAGCTCTATCAGTGCTAAACTGTTCTCTTTGTATAGAATCGGTAAGGGATCTTTTATCGATCCAGTGTTACTTCACATAAACTAATTTTATTTATTTATTTATACTGAATAGCTCCGTTTGTTCTAAACTCGTCTCCCTAGAGGTCCAATTAGGGCGCGAACTCTATATCAGTTGTAAACTGTTCTCCCTATAGAGGTCCAGTAATGGTCATCCCTTTATATTGATCCAGTGTTTAATACTACAGAAGGAAACCTCAACTAAACTAACTTTATTTATACCAGATAGCCCTATCAGTTCTAAACTCAACTCTCCAGATCTCCAATTAGGAGGAAATTTTACTTCAATTAGACCAAAGTTATTTATACTAGATAGCTCGCATATATAGAGGTCCAGTGAGGGTTGTTCCTCATTGCCCAGTGTTACTACAGGAGGAAACCTGAAATTAACTAACTATTTATACCGGATAGCTGTATTAGTTCTAAACTGTTCTCCCTAGAGGTGCATAAGGGAGGAGCATAGATTACCTGAAGAAAAGATAACAGCACTCGTAACCGAGCCAACAAGTCAACAGACTCGTCTAGTAAATTCCCTTTCATACATGTGGCTACGCAAATTTGCCCATTAAGTTCTCAAATCAAAGCATTTTAAATCTTTAAGGCTTATTGTTTCATAAAATTTATGTGACATCCTATTCACAGACGCTCAAGCGACCAGTTACACAATAACAACCTGGTGTCTATTTAGAGACGGATTAGACTGGTCTTTCCTGCAAAGTTTACACAATCACCAGTGGCAAAATCTCAAAGCAAAATTTACTAATTTTTTCACTAAATATCAAAAGCTCTATCCCTTACACCTTAGAACCAGCATTGCCTCGAGTGAAATGGAAAGGCTTTAATAAAAGTGTTTCTAGTTCTTGTCGTGACCAAACAGCACAGTTTAATTCTTCCGGCATAGTTCAGAACTGATATATAGAGCTATCCAGTATAAGTTAGTTTTTAGATGAGTATATTATTCTATATATTCATGCATGTTTCTGATAGAAATACATCGCGCATGTCTTTTGTGGTATATATTCTTTCAAGCCAAGACTTCAAACGGTTGGTTCGCAGCGACTTGGTATTTCTCAAAAATACAATACCGATCATATTATAATTATATTTACCGATCATATTATATATATATTTTAGACAACCGAAATCCTGAAACACTCAAGCCTTAACGAACACTATTCTAACAGAAAAAGGAAGACATCTATAGGAAGAAAATGTCTCTTTTTGTCTGTTGGAAGAATTTTGGAAACATGATCCGCATTTAAATCTGTTCATCAAAACAATATACTTTAATGGCATTATTGGCATATCAAACTGGTATTTTTCCTTTAAACCATTTACCTAAAAAAATTGCATCGAATTGTATCTTATACATAAGAGAATAGCGGTTTAAGCTTGCCTTGACCTTATTCTTAATATAGATAACTTTTTTAACCGTACTTTTGAAAATAATTTTGTTGTTGTGCTAACGTTTCATATTTTGTGAGAATGCATGTGAATCACGACGCGCATGAAACGGTGCTAATTGCTTAACGTCTCCCACAAATGAGCGAAAATTGAGTACATAAAATGAGATATTTATACGCATTTAGTGTTAATAGGGCACCATTCTTTTAAAAAAATAAATTCCGTGCAACCAGCTTAAGCGCTTTGCCTTTGGATAAAACGATTAAGCCAAGGCGACCTGTAAAATATTTTATTCCTGTATATAGATTAAGCCAAGGCTAAGCTGAGAACATTTTCATTTCACCAACAAATCTCTGAAGTCTCGATTTTGGAAACCAGCCAAGCAGTATGGGTCTGTATATGTAGGCTGCCTAATAGCAATCTAAGTTTAGAAAGTGGTAAAAGCCAATAAAATATGGTGGCATATACTATAGTTTGCCAAGTTTCGAAATCACGTGTAGATTATATACAGCCGAATTGGAAATACTATACCGCTCAAATGGAATGGATAAAAATACTTAAAGTAGCTATAGACCTTGGACTTGGTATATATACAAGTCGCATAATAAACAGGACATCAGTGGAATATATATTGATCTTGACTACAGTAGTTCACAGCCAACCTTTTATGCTTGCAATTATTAAATGGAGACAGCGTGATCGATATCACAGTGTACATGGTAATAAACGCGTACAAGACTCCACCAGATAACCCCTTGCCTATATCTAAGCGTTTGTATCCGATGCGTGACTCAGCAAGCAAAATTGTAATTAGGAAATATTAAACTCTGCTGTGAGAGCAACTTAGCATATTTATAGTAAATATAAATGTCACTGAGTTTGTTAACAACCAGAAACCGCTGTATTTATATGCCATAGCGCACATTCGCGCACGAAAATGAATGGATGCTTACATATATAGCTAGATTGAAATCCTGCAGATCGACGCATATTGCAGAAACTTCTAGTATAGAGTTTAAACTCGTGATACGCGAGCGACGGTCACAATCACTGAATTTTATGACCTGCAATGGCCGCGTCATGTATGATCCGAACTCTATTGTCCTTCATTAGTTAACATCATAACCGTTTTCTATTTTATCATGCGCGCAAAAAAAATTGGAGTGGAGAATTGTATATCGATAAATATACTAAATCCACATTATATCGAGAGCGCTAGCAATGTTTTGAAAAGATTTACAAACCGAAAACCGTTGCGTCTATATAAGTATATATATTGATACAATCTGTTTGAAAAATTCAAGACTAACTTCATTCGTGGTGGCCAAAGCAAAGAGACGCAAACTTATAGATCCTTTAATTTACACCACAGGGAAAGTACTCGAATAATGGGCAGCCGAAAAACAACCCGGTTGCGGAGATTAACGCTAAGCCAACACAAAAGGACAGACTAAATTCAAAGAAAAGCACAAGTGCCCTTATACATTTGGCCATCAGCCGGAAAACGTATAGGTAAATAATGGGAAGTTATACATGGAGTCCAACTCCGCGGGCAAAATATTTTTGTAAACTACAGGCTGCCGAAACTGATCTCGCCTATATATTCAAGTCATATCTAGCCAGCCCGGTTGTCCATGTCAACGCAAAATAATTTCTGCCACAAAAGGTGGAATCGCAAGAATTAACTCGCTTATTGCGCAGTATAGTGTGGCTTTCGTGAAAACAGTTTCTATTTGTAAAACTCACCGTAGTTCGACGCGAGTGGACCCATCAGATCGTAGCTCGGATGGTGCGATAGACCAATGCCATGGATTGGATAAGGAGCCATTCGATTGCACGGGAACCCGGCCATTGAATCACTTGAGAATGAAGCTATAATGGGTAGAAGAAATTCCAGGGTTAATGTTCAGTTACTTCAACGCAAGACGCGCGTTTTAACGCAAAGAGGTATGCTATATGGGACAGCAATGAAAGGAAATGACTGACTCACCACCTGTAGTGTGGCATTCAGGTTCGCTTGATAGTTTAAAAAGACATCCTGTAGCGTGCGATGGCAGATTGACATCACCCTTACACTTATATGTCAACGCAAAGTTTGCCCAACACTTAATCTGTCTTGGACAATGTAAACGATACCTACTGACTGACAGTGGCGTTAATTTTAAACTTATAATCAAAGAGGTTATTTGGCCCATAAAAAATCTGGACTCCGGCAGGTAATCTCAAATGTGCGCGGTTGGCCAGTAGAAAATATTTAAAGGATTTATATAGAACAGAAAGGTAGAACAGCGCTAATTGCATGAACTAATTACCCTCATACGCGCTGCCATAGTTTGTACTGTTTCAACTACACACCTGAAAGATTAAAAACAGGTAGTTCAAACGCAAACCATGGCACCTTATAAGCTTAGTTATAGCTACGCAGATTGTTTAATTTAATATGTAATGAACAAGCTTTCGTTGATAGAGATGGAACTACCTGAAAAATATAAGGAGAATTTGCATCTCAACCAACGAAAGCTTATTCATTTGATTGGCAGTACCTACATTGGCAAAGACAATTCATGTTTAATATGTAGGCGTTTTAAAAAAACTGATATGATCAATGCCTAGGATTGGTTCGAGTTCTATTTGGGATTAAGTATTGAAACATTTCAAGTTGGGAATATCTCGAGTGTGAATTTTACACATTCATTACACCCGTGATTACACCAACAACAATCTTTTATTACACAAAGAAATATTTACACATCACACATAGTCCTACTGAATTTTCTATTACATTTTTCTAATGAGCACTGGCTGCCAAAATAACCATGGGGCTAGAAAATCTGGCAGACAGTTTATTTCAACAAGTCAATCTTTTCAAAGACAATTTCACACCAAAAACAAAGACAAACGACAACAAACAAAATTAATGAATAATAAAGCCTAGATGAAATTGCAACAACGAGAAATTAATCAAGAACCTTGCAGCCAGGAGCAGTTGCAAATAATGCAAAACATGTAACTATAGTCAACTGACCGACAGAGTCCAGTTGTCGAACTCTAAACGTACGGTGTTTGGGTAATTATAAGGATTTTTGGATATCTCACTTGAGAGTATAAAGAATTTTGTGGATACAAATTTCAAGTATAAATTTCACAAAAATTTACACTACAAAAACATTCAAGAATTAGTTCTGTGATTCTATCAAGTGAGATGCCAACTTATATAGGTCTGAGTCCGTTCCGCGCTTTGAGAGTCCAGTGCAGAGTTCCAATTTCATAGTCCGGCTAATCAAGTTCTGTTCAATGTACGGAAACGGCATGTCCGGCAAGGCTAAGCATGGCAACTTAGCATGACAAATACTGATGTTTACAAAGCAAAGAATGAACACATAGGCAATGTCAAATTTCATTACGAGCACGCTTCGTCAACAAGCGCCCGACCAGAGTTCAATTAGGTCCACAGTGGATTCATCTTTGGAAACCCGAAATGGCCCACCGCGAATGTATATCTATACAATAATTCTAGAATGTGACCTCTGCACTCCATTGCAAAGTTACAAAACCTGAAATGGCGATATATTAAGGATGCATGAGTTGAGATGTGAACCCACTATATTCTTAGCGAGGTAGATCGAGCTAAGCTTTTTCAAACATGGAGGTCCAGTGTAGGTAGTATTCTTCAATAAGCTGCCGTGGTTTCTGTCTAATAAACTCAGCTGTGCGATTAAACACTAAGACGTTTGGAGAAGACCTTTGGTAACATCAAAGTGCTACACTATAGTTTAATCTTTTTTAGGTGTAGTTCACATACAAACGGCGGTGGTAAAAATTTCCAGGACTAATTCTCTCAATGGATTTAATCCAGCGATAAGGAGGAGTAACCAATTGATTTCGTGTCGAGTTTAATGTATAATCCCATAAGGTGATAAGCGCAGTAATTTCACACAATAACAATTCACATGCAGTATAAGACCTATTTTCTCACCAAGCATTAATTTAGCACGTATTCAATACATGTATTTTATCTATCTTTATTAAAGCAATCATTCTATAAGAACGATTAAAACCAGTTACCTTAAGCCGGTTAGCATTACGACCTACGGCTACTACAATTTAGGATTATGCTAGCAATAAAATTTCAACAATTTCTATGAATAAAACAATCCTTTTGATGATAAACATGTTCTGGGTATTACCATATTCCATCGTAAGTACAGATATAGCACAGAAAACACAGGCGTTCTTTTGATATATATTATATACTTACAGACCATAATCCTAACAATATAGTGTCGTATTCATAAAGGTTGCTATTTTAGGATTAACTGAAAAGGCTATATCATTGTAGTGAAACTCTATAACGAATGTTTTTTTCTTATATTTTCATGTTGGGTTTTTTTTTGCATGAAAACTATCGTTTTCATTGCGCAAAAACTAAAGCAACCATTACCATGTATATAAATTAAAATAGATTTTTGATCTAATTGACATGCATCCAACAATTCTACATACGCATAAACATGGAATTGGCGCCAAGGAATTTCATTAATTTCGATTTTTTAAGGTAACCGATACATTTTTTCGATGCCACGTGGGTGGTACTCTGACACTACTGGTTTGGATCAGGACAGCACAGTTGTGACCGGGAGCAACCCAAAGGTAATCTGAGAGCTCCATTTACGTACGACTCAAGCCAATACCTCCCGCAGATAAATCCGCTGGTAATAGACATGTGTGATGTGTATGTGCGCAAGGTAAAAGCATCGGGTTTGCGCAAATTCAGCGGACGCAATTTATTCCGAAAGACGCAAAATAAATGCGCGCGAGGGTAGGGCATTGCCAACCTCATTTTAAAGCGCGAGCGAATTCGCGAGCAGCATGCGCACCCGAGAGTACAAATATTGGTCCATTGAAGAGGCGTAACTAGGCTAACACAATAATCTGTTTAAAACAGTTTATTGATGCTGACAATTGAATTGTCACCTTTTTCAGGCGAGCGAAATCGGAGATAATGAGTTGTCCTGGCGATAAAACACTCGCAAACACGCCCAGCTGTCAGTTTAGAAATGCGCATTCTTTTCGCATGGTGCATATACGTGTTTTATGCTAATTATGTAATTTATCTGTTACATATCTTCAATCGTACAAATCTTGAATATATAAACTATGTTAACAGTATAGACCTGTACCACGGCTTTTGAGCCGATTGAAAATTTGATAAAACCCTCAAGATAAATAAAGTTCTAAATCAAGTTCTGCCTGGCATGAATACGCTACGTTATATTATATCACTTTATGAAATCAGTCAACAAATTTACAGAGTACGTAACAAATTTACAGAGTACCACACTTCGAACAAAATTTTTTTCGAGTTCTTCGTCACTCAACATCTTAGCACTGTACACAAACCACAAATTGAGGGCTGGTAAGATTTTATATTAAGCACAACAAATTCGCGGGCTTTAGTTTGTAAACTGTGGCAATGACGCTATAAACAATAATTAGAAAATATATGGGGATTTGCACGGGTCGAGGTTTGATTAGCATGCAGCGCAAAAAGTTCAATGCAAAAATTCCCACATTCCCTATATTAAATCTTCTGTTTTTAGAAACGACGCTAGGCGCTACAGGTTTTAAAATATAGCCTTCAAATTTTATTTACTAACTAATTTTGACCTGCTCTGTTAATTTTTGGGATTGAGTGATGCAAATATGCTTTCTATTGCATGGATTTCACAGTTTTTCTTACTGTTAGCCCCTCACAGTGTGCGCCCATCGCTACAAGTTATTTTTACAATTATTTCTGTTTCATAATCCTCGCTCGAGCCCCCGTGTGTGATAAATCGAGCGTTTGTTTTAAAGCGTCCTGTGAAACGAACTAACATGTCTTTAACAAACAAGATTTTTGGGTATTAAAACAGCTCGCCGCTGCGTTCTTAATGGGATGAGCGTCACCTTGGCTGCGCGAGAATTTTGTGGATTTGTACGAGTAGCAACGACAAAGAATGTCCCCGTTGTATCCGGCTATCAAAATTGAGCTGTGAGACCTATTAACCAGATAATGTATAACTACATGTATACCAGCGCATAATACATCAGCTTTTACAAAAAGCGAAATGACACTTATAGCAAACAAATTTAGACTAAATCTCCATACATCCTACATTTTCTTCCATTAAATACAAGGCTACTACATATGCAAAGTTATATTTTCCTTTTTTTTAATTAATGTTATGCTATATATTTACTTTTATTTATTAAAAAAAATAGATTTAGTAGTTTCAGTGTATTATATTAATGAACAAATTCTGATCAATTGTTACAATAGCTTAATCCTTAATTATATATTAGTTATACTGTGTTAAGTTATTATTAATATTATTATTATTAATGACACGCTTTAATGCTATGTCTATGAACCAGAAATTACATTTTTTAATACTATGTCATTAATGGACCAAAGATACATTTTACTAACATTATTATTATTAAAAAAATATTCTTTTTGGTGAACGCAAATTCTCTAAACAAAAGGCCGAAAAGGGTCACTTTGAATTTGCCCTCAGACAGTGTTTTTACAAAGAATGCTCCACCTTTTTAGAAAAGCTAGAAAATATAGGACTGGATAAAAAGCACAGCCTGATTTGTAGTAATCTGTCTTATTCATGTATAGCCAATTGTACTTAAATCAGTGGCGAGATTTGCAGTTGTGCATATAGGTTATAGGTAGTAACCAACAACTTGCAACCAACAATTTTTTACTACCTATAACCTATATGTACATGTACAACTGCAAATCTCGCCACTGATTTAAGTACAATTGGCTATACATGAATAAGACAGATTACTACAAATCAGGCTGTGCTTTTTATCAGGCAGTCCTATATTTTTTAGCTTTTCTAAAAACGGGTCTACTGTACAATGATGCGTTTGTGAATCATCATTACGACACAAATTGTCTGGTATGATTCTCTGTTAATTTGAAGCCAGGATCAATGCCACTACATGTGGTGCCTGCACTTAATATGTTAGTTTCACCTCTGCGGTAGTTCGAATGTTTCTCAGGCAAGTGGTGCACATATGTGCTGTATTGATAACATTAGTACGTCAGCCAAAACTAAGTTTTTCTATCTAAAATTTAGCCCTCCTTCGAATCCTCTGTCAAATTTTTAAGACATAAACCAAGAACTGTGATTTACTTCAGAAAATTAACATCGCTGGATGTAAAAATATTAAAATTGTATTAGCCTGGTTAAAATTACTGGTCGTTGGACTGCATGGTGTGCTAGCCAGCCTCATTGATGTGGTTTCAATTAATCCTATTTCAGTTTCCATACAGGCAATTAATGCATACAATATGACCACAAACGTATGTGGATACCTCGAATTAATGGATGTAAATATCGCTCTGATATTTCTGGTGTTAAATAGGTTGTAGTGGTTTGTGTCGGAACTGCCTAAAAAGATTAAAGCAAGTTCGACGTTTGGCTATTAATCTCCTGTCGTCTTAGGATTTTTGCGCAAAAACTTCGAAGAGCTTTTAATAGTTTTCAGATAGCCCAGACACACACCACGGCAGCATACCAGAATACTACCTATACATTGGACCTCCACGTTTGAGATATCTTTTTCAGGTAGTTCAGACACAAACCACGACAGCTTACTGTAGAATCCTACCTACACTGGATCACCACGTTTGAGATATCTTTTTCAGGTGGTTCAGACACAAACCACAGCAGCTTATTGTAGAATACTACCTTTACTGGACCACCATCCGTTTGAGATATATTTTCCTTTTTTACCTTCTAACTTTACTCTTATACGTGCACTCTTTACGATTGACTGTTATATCTGCATGCTATTGTACGTAATGAATCGATCCAAACACTTCAAAATCTCTAATTATTAAAGTTAAATAAATATGACTCTTTCACTGCCAAATTAAATCAGACAAGAAAACACACATATTGAAAATGTTCTCATCAGGTATTGGTGGTTAGTGCGCACGTGCCTTTCACCTTCGCCAATGGGGTTCAATTCCTGCAATGAGCATGCGCAGTTTAGCTTTATTCAGTTCCTTTAAAATTATGGAATCAGGATCGTTAAATTAAAACTTGCAAATGACATAAGAAGATATCCTTAATAACAAACTATGCTGAATGTGTTTCCTTTTTCAGCGATGCTAAATACGCTTAGTTTTCCTAAACCGATTTAGACTCTTTCCAGTAAGTTATCATTTTATGCCCTGGATCAATAACGTCAAATATATTGGAGTTTTACCATGGTCTTTACACGCAATAAGAAGTTTATTGGTCTTTATTTGATCGAATTTCATCTTTGGTATATCTTATTTTTTGTGATCCATGCCTATATAAATATGCTCTTGTCGTGGACGAGATTATTATGATTTATGGCAAAAAAAAACTTTCAATGAAATTGACAGACTATCATAATATCAACATGATTAACAGGGAAACCTTAATTGGTAGCCTAATTATGTGGGAGGGTATAACAGAACTTTATAGTACAGTATCTCAGGAAACGTTGAAGGTATTGTCCCTGGATGAACTTCCTAAAATGACTGTGTGCAATTCTATGAGATCAAACCGTACAAGTTGTATTCTATTTATTTACTAGATTATAAATGGCTATCATTGTATATGAAATGTTTAAGATTCATAACTTCAACTGTGGTAGTTTGTGTCTGTACTATCTGAAGAAGATATCTCACACGTGGTGGTCCAGTACAGGTATAGTATTCTATAATAAGCTGTCGTGGTTTGTGTCTGAACTACCTGAAGAAGATATCTCAAACGTGGTGGTCCAGTGTAGGTAGTATTCTACAATAGGTTTGACGAGCCGGTTTGGGTATGAATGAAAATGATATCTTGTATATGTGAAGGTCTATCCCAGTGTGGTTCTTCTACGAAAAGATTAACACGTAGTTCTGGCACCAACCATGCCAGCTTATTCCACTGTACAATATTTCAAAATTCAAAATCTTCTATTAAATTGGAAGATTATAGGAGCGTTGCCTTCCAATTAAGAATTAATCTTCAGTATGATCTAGACAGTGAATCAATATGGCGATGTGTATAAATATAATTACTTAACTATGCAGTTACAACGTTTTCATTCACAGCTCGTTTTTATCAGCACCGATGTTTGATTTATTTGTTTGAATGTGTGTAAACATTCCGTGACACGAAGCGGAAATTGGTGAGGTGTTTTTATTATTGGCAAATATTTCATCCCAGACAATCACACCCAGACGAAATCGCCTGGAACTTTCTTTGCGACGCAGCCAGAATTACTTTCAATATAAAGGCATTTCTCTTCCATAGGTATTTAATAAGAAATGTTGTCAGCAACGAGATATGGGGTTGTATATTATTCTCCCAAACACGTCAGGTCCGTTGTGAATTTTCAGACGCGTGAATATACGTAGTTTTGTGCGTGTATCGGTGATGACAAAGCATTAGTGTGTAAGCAGTGCTTCAACTGAGGTTTTTAATCTTTGTTTTCAAACACTAAACATTCCATACAGAATTAACCGGCACGGAATGCTTTCGAGAAAATAAACTTTATGATTTTCGTGCATACTCGCATGCATGCCACTATGGGGAGGATTTGGTTGATCATTTGATCTATAATATATATTCTATATGATATAAGACTAGGTGTTGATCTTACCAAGTACATCTAACTTAAAATTATAACCGTTTGCATCCACAAACTGGCCATTGCTGTATGTATATAACAATTTTGCCAATTTCGTACTCAAGTGGATCTTATAAAAATTGGATTATCAGAACAGCAGTGCACATATATTATCATTCATAATATATGAAGTGAAAATGCATTCTTTATAATCTTATATTTTATAGTTATTAGGATATATATAAGATATAAAGATACGTTTTGTATCTTTTATCGTATGTAATTTCATATGTGCCTGTATTGATATTTGATGAATAAAGATTATTATTATTATATCACGAGTCGTATATTTGTTTAGGACACATGGATGAGGTTTGGATCAATGTTTTCATTGAAACTGGAAAATGTTAAGATCTTCACCTGAACTGGCAGCGAGGAATCAAAATATAGCAATGAAATATAACATCCGCCGAAACCAGAACTTGACCAATGGCGACTGAATTGATTCCCGCACATAAGGATAATTTTAATAGACATTAACACTTAGCATTAGTTAAACAAAAATCAGATTTAAAATATAGATCCAAATGAAATCCGATGACGACGAAGTCAATAAATGCTCCGGCTCTCTTGAAAACGAGTCCATTGAACTTTTTAGGGTTGCAGCGCTAACCCAGGAAGGAATGCCCTTTCTTAACACCTTCCTATAGTTAAATTAGCGGTTCTGTCAAATTCACTAAATATCTTAACATTCCACAATAACTGTCCAAGAACTCCTAGACATCATGCACACAATTCAAACACTTCGCCAATACGAGGGAAGGCCCTTCGTATAAGAAGGTTTAGCTAACCTCGAAACGAGGAATCTTATTCATAATCTTATTCATAATCATGCAGGAATGTTATAGAAACAACTATCGGACTTTGACATCATTTTCTTGTTTGGACTATATATATATAGTTCAGTCTTATTGCTTGTATCATATTGTTATTCAGATTAATGTTGTTATTTTAATTCTGGACATATTTATAGATCTAGCTAACTATTTGTAATATACAGTATTAACTAAAGGTAGCTATATACAGAGGGCCACATTTTTGTTACTATGTATAATTATTATATGTGTTACCCAAATTAGACATCTTCTTCGAGTAGTTCGGACACAAATCACGGCAGCTTATTGTAGAATACATGCAACCTACACTGTACCTACACGTATGGGATATCTGCTTCAGGTAGTTCAGACACAAATCACGGCAGCTTATTGTAGAATACAACCTACACTGTACCTCCACGTATGGGATATCTTCTTCAAGTAGTTCAGACACAAACCACGGCAGCTTATTGTAGAATACAACCTACACTGTACCTACACGTATGGGATATCTTCTTCAGGTAGTTCAGACACAAATCACGGCAGCTTATTGGAGAATACAACCTACACTAGACCCCCATGCACGTTTGAGATCTTTTTCTCAGCTGTTCAGCCACAAACCACGGCAGTTTATTGATATACACTAGATCCCTACGTCTGAGATATCGTTTTCAGGTAGTTTAGGCACAAACCACAGCAGATTATTGTAGAATAACTGGAACCCCGTGGATTAAATATAGATGAAAAATATATTGTCAAAATATTAAAAGAAATGTTACAAAGAAGTGTACTTACAAAATATTGCAAATTGGAAGTGAAATGTGTTGGAGTGACCAAACGTGCTCTTCGCTGCCAAATGCGTGAATGAAGCAGTAAATCGGATACAATGATTTAAATTCACGATGTTTTTCTACAAATGTTGAAATACATTTGCCAGAACACATGCGTCTGAAGAGAAACAGGATTATGTTCAAATGGCAACACTAGCTTTTTGTGCTTAACGTTTGTTTACATAAGGAATGCCCCATTGAGAGTGCACTCGTTGTTTGTCAGAGGTCCAGGGTTTTGGTAAATTGTCCAACTGAGAAAACGACATTCCTTGGGGAACATGATACACTGGAGTCCTTCAACTGCTGACAATTCAGGCTAGGTATTGAGGGATTCTCCACGCTCATTTAGTTTAGGGGGTGTAGTTTTTCAAGGGCTGTACCCTTCACCCGCGAATGTCATCATTAGTGGTATTGCCTGTTCTTGAGCTGCAGAAAATCAAGCTGGTGGCAGAGACGGATCCAGACTCACAGACCTGGTGGCTACCAATCCTACCATAGTATCGGATATAACCTTAATTAAGTGGTCACGGAGGGTTACGGACTTAACATTCTATTATAGACTTAACCTTGTAGTTTGGCTACCTACATTGTGGGTCATTTATATGTTTCATAATGTTGGATCAAGTTTGATTTTGAAATTCAAATTTTTCATTCAACATTGTCCAACTCGACATAGTTGGGTTGAAGTAGAGGGTACAGGCTAGCATCAGGGCAGATTCGGATTATTTTGATGGTGGGTGCAGACACATCTGGTATGGAAGATTCCACATGCTCATTTAATAGAAAGGGGTAAGCTTTTCAGGGGTGCACCCTTTCCCTTCAAGGCAAACTACATATGACAATTGAACTGCAGATATTCAGACGAGGGTTGAATCCGGCCATGTTCTTGTGATAGAAGAGATTACTGTCATGTGTTTATATCCTCTTTAAAAGAAGTTGTTCATTCATTCATTCATTTTTATTTAGAGCAGCATTGGGAGGGGGTGATTGTGCAGACTTTGAAGGGGCTGGTTCTATAACGCAATATTAGACCTAAAAGGCCATTATCGATAGGCGTTCGCTGACCAATTCTCAATTCCAAAAATATAAAATTAGAGGGCACTCAGAGACTGTATACCTCAAAAAGTTTGGATTACAGAACGGACAATCTGACCAAAACGGTCATGCATCGTACACAAATGCTCACAAATTGTACTCTTCGCATCCTACACTGGCTCCCATCATTTAAAGCTGTACATATTTCTTATTTAATCATATATATATTCGTATACAAATGATACTATGCTTCTGACTGCAATATGAAATTCTAGACCATGAAATGATGAAGTTAAGTGAAAAGTTTTGCATGGCACTGCCACTGGGAAAAAATATGGCCATTCAGTTATTACACTGCATAATACATTAAAACAATCTCATTAATAATTCATTAAGTAAATTCAAAAGAAATAGATGTTTAATCATCTGTAAATCGGATAAAGATTTCGTCCTCATTTACATAACCTCTAGATTCGCTTTTCTCGGCTAAAACGAACCATGTTACCAAAATAATTGGGGAACTCGATGTCGCGTCCAATCTATATATTGGAATCGTACTCGCATCGCAAATACCAAACGTGACAATTGAAATAGCCATTTCCTTTCTAATTACAGACATTACGCAGATCCGTCTTAATTCTTGAAAATCCAGATCAAATATTTCTCTGAAGTGCAGGAAATTTTTGTTTCGGATTATTTTTGTATCGGCGTTAAATGTAAACATTATGATGTTATTATCTAAGTATGTCCCGAGCGCATTAACGCGAACAACGCAACCAGTCACGAACCGGTATTGGGAATGTTCCATTGTCTTAGAAATCCATGCCAACCAGTTAATCGTTAATGAAATTTAAGACCAATAGATTGTGTACTGTTTATTGCACTGTCTTGCATGCATGCCCAGTTGGTTTTTATATGGTTATTTCCTCATAATTCGTGCGCGATAGGGTTAAGGATGGGCTTGTTATTGGGATCAAGATCAAAGAGAATCATCACTCGTGCACGCGAAACATGCGTGGGATGTGCGCAAGACGTGCTAAGACAGGCAAACATGAAAGTGAGGCCATTGCATGTGGAACAACTTGCAATAAACAGCAAAGTCTATCCAAGCCAGTCCAACATGTTGATCCGACATTCTGTTGAATGCAAAATGTCTGCTCTGTTTGAACATTAGAGAGCTTTAGCGGCAACTAAGAGTACGAGATTCGTCAATGCGAAACGCATGCTGTATGCTTACACCATCCTGTAGCTACTGACGCGAAAACGTCGTGGCCGTCGCCCATCTGAGTACGAAATTTTGGAGAAATCTCGTGGTCCTCACGACGACTTTTTAAAAAACAAAGAAGTTGTTTTTTTTTGTTTTTCAAAAATAATTTTGTAGCGTTTCAGTATCCGGCGCAAATAATCTATTAGTACTAAATATCTGGCTCGTTTTTAATATCATGACTTATTTGCACTTATAATTCGTGTATTGTTCCTCATATAGAAGGGGCTAATTTTGTAGGGGATTTTAGCTTGCATGAGATTTAGTTTATAGAAACTTTTTCTCTCGTTGTTTGTTTACTGCTACTGTACAAAAGCAACATTTGAACGGAAACGAGAACGACTACGACTTCCTCGCACGCGATCAAATCTCGTACTCGTAGTCGCTGTTAAAGCTCCCCATTACCCTCGTTAAAACGACTCCAGCATCGTCCAACACTTTTGATCCAACAGCACTGGGCAATGTTTGGGGAGCCACGTGTTCAATGATCACACTGAATCATCAAACGCCATCGGACTGCGCGTTATCCTCAAGCTGTTCAAAACTAGCCTGCTCGCAGCTACGAGACCAACATTAGGTACAATATTATCCAATATTTCTGAATGCAACATGCATGGTCTCGTTGACGGAAAACTATGTTGGTGATGTTGGCTGATGGTGGAAGATGTTGGATCGCATTTGACTTCATGTTAAAATTTTTTATCAACACTGATTTTGCAACATTTGACGGTTACGCGCAATCACCGACACTCTTCCCAACATTGTTGGACCCACTCTGGTTGGACCCTTACTATGTCTATAGATTAAGTACCCGCGTACTAGATTAAGCCTTGCTTATAACACTGGGTTCGTACATGTCTGAGGGAGAGTCAAATTCAAGGACTTTTCAAGGACATTCAAGGCCATGTATCAGCAAATTCAAAGACTAAATACTCACGAGAAGACGTTAGAAATCAGTAAAATCTGACGTTGAATTGTTCTAAACGTATAACTTTAATGAGGGCAGATATGAACATGTAAAATCAGTTCAACGGCAAAATGTCCGTTTTGAATGTCACACAATTTCAGGAAATATCCGAAAACTAAAGCAAGAAGAATTCAAGGACTTTCAAGTACTTCTTTACAAATTCAAGGACATCCAAGGCCTTGAATTTTTGTTTTCAAACTCAAGGACATTCAAGGACTTTCAAGTTTTGTACCAACATCGGCTTTCCCTTTAAGGCTGGATTATACACTAAAAGTTTCTGTGATCACAGTATGAATTTTGCATATAGGTAAATTGTAAGATTTGAAGGATTTGTAAGAAATGTTTGAGGGAACTGATTCAGTATTAAAAAATCACTTCTATCAAAAAATTCTTACAAATTCTTACGAATTTATCCCGCAGCTCGGCGAGGCCACACCCGACTTCAAACAAGAATACTTTATAAAAGGACGCATTTTAAGAAATGTGTGTTTGGAATATATGATAATGGTACCACAAGAACAAACATGTTGACTTGGCAAAATTCCTACTGTGATCACAGAAACGTTGATAATGTAAACCGGTCTTTAGGGTTAACAACCTTGACTATATTGAAACACGAGTTTAACACCATGCCTCATTACAGTGCGCAATTTGTAAGGTAAATATTTATAGACAGCTATTTGTTATAGATGGAAACAACAAATATTTACTCGCAAAATAAATGAGTGTAAATACATTAAAAACTTACGTCGCACGTGTAACCGATGTTGTACTTCCATTTAGTGAGAATTGTGACTGATCTTCGTTGAAGTGTTCTCAAAGATTGCTTTTTGCACACTGAGGATTCCAGTCGGTGCTAAATGTATACAAGAGAAAGAAAGATCAACACAAGTGACATAACATGGCCAAAATAGGCAAGAGAACTGCTGAAAATGTTTAGAAAAACAAACGGAATATGTTGGAGATCGAGTCCCGTGGTTCACGTGAACGCACGAAATGCAAGAATTTTTACGGAAACATCTCCATTGTTTTTTTGCGTGTGAAAACAGACAGTTTTAAGGGGATAAAGTTAGGAATGGTACTCGTGTGAATAAATATAATAGGTTTAGAAGGATTTGTAAGGGAGAAAATGGGATCCGTAAGAAGGAATGTGTAAAATGCATAGTTTTCTTTCCGTTTTCTCGCGCTGCGCTGTAGTTAATGTCCAGCACGCAATCCTATGCCACACGTTGAGATAAAATGTTTATTCGCATTTGCCTGCCAAGATTCTACAAGCGGTATATACTATAAAAACTATGACTTGATACCGGTTAGACAAAACTTCTCATTGTATTTATCAAGTAGTCGCATCTGTTGTTATTATTGGCAATATCTACACTGGCACAGACCGTTAAGTTTATACTGGATGGCTCTATCAGTTCTAAACTTTTCTCTGTAGAGGTCCAGAAAGCTATAGGGTCATCCCTTACAGATCCAGTACTACAGGAGGAAACATAAACTAACATTATTTATAATGGATATATCTTTATCAATTCTAAACTGTTCTCTGTATAGAGGTCCAGAAAGCTATAGGGCCATCCCTTACAGATCCAGTATTACTACAGGAGGAAACCTAAACTATAAACTAACTTTAGTTATACTGGATTGTTTTATCAGTTCTAAACTGTTCTCTCTAAGGGGCCTAATAGACCCAGAGTCACTACAGAAGGAACCAAAGGAAAACATGCATGCGGTGTTTGGCAAAGACAGTATAATCGTAAATTGTAATCGTAATCATCGAGTACACCATGTGAACTTTAGCACAATTTGCGCGCACCAGGAACACGCGCATTCCCACCAGCCCACCCCGTGCGCCTACCGCAAGTTTTATATTTAGGCGTCGAGAATGAAAATATTTGACCTTTTTTGGGAGTTGCGCGCACGAAAGTATTTACGAATTATCCTTTTTAATTAATCGTAATTGAGACATGCTATGATTCCTTTTTTTCGTCTATGTTTATACAATATTTTCACGCTGGGTGTATGGCAATCTACCTCTGAGGGATGCAATTTACTCGCAAAACGTAAACGACTGGCTAAATATGGTAATCAGTTTTGGTCAACGGCTGGCATAAATAAACAAAACTGGTAAGGGCGCGCATACCAGTTGATAATTTCTGTGGATATCGTACTAATTGTCCTATATTACAAAACATGAGGGTACACGGTTAGGAAATTTCTAGTAATTTTTAATTATTAATAATTTTTTGTGCTGATGCAGAATTTCAGTTTAAGCACTAACAACGAATTGTGATATTTTTATAACCATACGCTGCAATAAATTTTTTTTGCAGGTTCAAAGCCCGTTCACCCTTCACGTTTGCACGTTTCTTCAAAAATATCTTTGAAGAATTTTAACCATGGTTAAAACATGTGTAAATTCGTTAATAGTACTTTAAGCCTGAAATACCTCAAGATGTCAGAATTATATGACCTGATCTATATATCACTTTCCGAGAACTAAGCAAATATGAAACATTCGGAAAAGTCCGAGTAATACACTGTTAAATATATCAAAGTTTGGATCAATGTTCCAACTCAACTCGTTGACAAAAGGCGTCCACTCGAAAGTCGAAACCTCTCTTGAATGCAATTTTTTATTTTTCAGACAGACCAGAGGCGAACGTCTTTGTATTTTGATCACGGCCTATACGTACGCTGTCGGCGTGGTTTGAAACATTGAGGGGCGTGGTTCGAATTCTCGCTAGCCTAAGAAATACACTAGGAAAATTCCGCGGTTAGAAAACAATAAGGCCTCAGTTGCATGGGTGTGAGAACAGTGGTTCCAGTTTTATTCTACCAAAGTACCACAGGTGTTCTCCAGGAATTCTGCTATCTTCGAATATGCAATGGACGAATATGCAATGAGCTTACTGGAAATCTACGTTAACGAGGACAGTATACAATGATGAAGTCAGTGTAGCTAGTCTAACCACCAATAAATCTACATTCCTCTAAATAATACTGTTTGACCTTTTCGCCTTTTCTTTTTTTGTTTGCTTAAGTCACTGCATTTCCACCTTATAATTAAAATCATCGAGGCAGCATTTTACCCAAAGTTGTAAACATTTTTTTTTCATTAAATTAAGTTGATGAATTAAAACCTAAATTTTATAGCGCACAAATTCATCTATCGCGATAAGGATGAATTGCAGAATTAGAGATTAAAATTTAGCTTTTATTTTAAAAAAATGTGCGTGGGTTAAATGTTATATAAAGACGAATTTACGAAAACAATTATATATGGGCTCTGGATCGGTTTATTTATTTATTATAATAGTTTACTTTTTCAGTAAGAATGTTTTCAAATCGTGACTTTTGAGACCTAATATTCGGCTTTTTGGACAGACATGATTATTTGTATCCTTGATTAATAAAACTCTGTTATGTCTAAAGACTAAACGATATCTTATTTTCTGAGGTATAATTCAAGGCTTAATTTCGCTTTCGATTTCACACGGGCCGAGACACAGGTAACTGGCCAACGAGTCGATCCAGCTAGGTATCTCTATTTCGCTAAAGTAGACCAATATAATGTATACGAATTTGCCTTATCGCATTCTACAAGTATTTAGGTTTTACTCTTTAAATTTGAACAAGGCTTTAAATATCGCTCAAAAACGTCCGTTATAAAAAATCCCATTAGTTAAAATCAGAACTGATTGACGAAGCGCACCATTGATTTATATTAGAGAGGTTAAGATACCCCGGTTTCGGTGCGTGATTTTGGTTAGCAATATTTTCGTCGATGTCTGTACCTTTACTCGTAATTAAGGTGCACATTTTTCGCATTATATCATATTGTCTATTGCACGAAAACAGAAAAAGTATGATCGAATTACGGACATCAGTAAAACAAGATGACACTACTCGTACCGGCCCGTACACCGAAACCGGGGTATCTTAACCTCTCTAATATTACATTTGCATGTACATGATGCCAAAATTTCCTCCCCAAAATGGAATGGTGCTCGCGACTGATCAGCGCAAATCCGTTTAACTGATTTCCCTTGCCTCGAGTTGGATCAGGTGTTATTTACGCTGAAATTTGCACACGAGCACAATCGCAAGTGAATGCAGCGAGTGAATTTTCATCAAACGAGCAACATATAAAAAAACTTAAACATGCGAAGAAAATGCCGGTTCTCCTTTCATGCAATAGATCTTGTAACTCCTAAAGTATATACTGGATAGCTCCATCAGTTCTAAACTGTATGCTCGTCCTAGAGATCCAGTAAGACCATCCTTATTTGATCAGTGTTACTACAGAAGGAAACCTAAACTAGACGAACTTTATCTATTCTGCATGGATAGCCCTATCAGTTCTAATCTGCCCTCCCTAGAGGTCCAGTAAGAACCGTCTCAAATTGATCCGGTGGTATTTACGGGGAGGAAAGCTAAACTATAAACTATAACTATATTTATACTAGATAGCTCTGCCAGTTCTAAAGTGTTCTTTTTAGAGGTCCAGTAAGAACCATGTCCTATTGATCCAGTGTTACTACAGGAGGAAACCTAAACTAAACTAACTTTCATATACTGGATAACTCTATCAGTTCTAAACTGTTCTCCCTACAGATCATGCAGAAAGAACCGTCTCGCATTGATCCGGTGTTATTGGCTACAAGAGGATTAACCTAAAAAAATACACTAACTACATTTATACTAGATAACTCTATCAGTTCTAAGCTGTCCTTTCTAGAGATCCAGTGAGAACCATCTCTTATTAATTCAGTATTATACAACAGAAGGAACTGAAGGAATTAACCTGTGGTGTTTGGTGGCGTCAAACGGAAACACTCTGAAGACGAAATGATAATCAGAAGCTACATACTAGCTGCAGCTATAGGGATGAAACCTCGGTCAGAGCTCGAGCATGCATTAACCACTTTTATAGCCAAACGACGATGCGATTTGGTGCCCATTTGTAACAATCATGCTCGCGTAACGTGCATGCATGCAACCGCCCGCTTGTATTAAACCTCTCATCTTTTGATCCAAGCATAATATAATAACTGAAGTGTCATACCTATTAAGAAGAAGATTCCGTCACGGAGGTGGTACAATCGTTAAACAATTACAGCAGGCAATAGCAGACGTCTTATTCGCGGTGGGCACCTTTCAGTTCTCAGTTTCGGACTGTAAAACCTGCTGTGCACAGAGCAAAGGACTGTGTATAGCACGCTGCGTTCTCACCGAGAACTACATTACAAGAACTAACAGCAACTGAGGCTTACGAATATTTAATAAAACATCACAGAGCTTATATATTATAGGTGTAAACGTGCAAAATGCTTACGTACACATACACGCAAATATCATCAATGTCAAGATAAATTAATAGCTCACCTTGCTTCCAGATTATAATTTGAAAATTTTGGTTGCTCTTAAAATCCCCCAAATCTAAGCCGTTAACAGCGAGGTAAGCAAAAGTCTTGTTTGTGTAAACAGGCTTGGGTAAATATACAACTGGAGTCCCAGTTATAAAATAAGCTTATTTAAAAATTAAGTTCACCGTTCACAGCAACTGTCTAGCTTAAGAATGGCAAGGAATCGCGTACGGCAAACACTGAAGTACGCCGACGCGATGCATTTCGGGATTGGCAGTGATAAAACGGCAACACAAAAGACCTATATACCGTAATTAGACGTTATAAATTGCAGGAAATTGTTTTTTCAATAAAGAAAACATGTTTAATACGGGTAGACCATACAAACGTTGCTCTTTATGTCGAGAAATCAACTGTTACGGGCTCGTTTCGAAATCAGTGCTTAAAACGAGCCGTATTTCGCACGCTTACACGAGATTGTCGTCATTGTTTTTTTATCAAAATTCAAATGTTTCGCAGCGCCGACCTTTGTATGAAAATTGTGATTAAAATAAAGCAGATTTTTCAAAGTAATTGTCCCGCATTTGCATAAGAAAACCCAAAAGTTATTTCATAAGTTTGCGAAAAATGGGTGGGTGTTAAAGAATTGCCGGTATACAAAAGTCAAACATTGTAAGACGCATACTTTAGAACAAATATAGAAATTTATCTATACATATAAACAAATGGCAAGTGTAAAAATAAGACCGAGTTCGACATGTGTTTTTTAAACATATATATGCATGTGTATGAATTAAGCATGGGAATACATAACACGAGAATAGGATCGTGGATAAGACTGTTAGATTATAATCGTGGCGGTTTTAAGCAAAAAAGCCGACTATATCAAAGCGACTTTCTTTCTACGAGAAGCTGAAGAAGTAGGTTTGCTACAAAAGTACTCAAAGGGTATAATCCGAAACGAAAGCGCTTGACGTAGTTTCTATATTTGTACACTCGTGGATTGGCAAGCAAACTAAATCATAACAATTTGTTTGCCCATTGCGTTGGAGTGTACAAACAAACCAAATAAGATTCCACGCGATTAAGATGAAACTTCGTTAAACCGTCAATGCTGTTGACCAGATCCTAATTTAAACTAGTTTTGCAAATCAACGCAAGCACGTTTCGGTCGTCTAGTTGTGGCTACCAATCTGTGGGCCCGATGGCGTCAACACGTCTCTACGCACATAATATACAGTACTGCCGCTTTGAGCTTCATTATAGAAAACAAAACGCCCCTTGGCAGACATCGTTGTCTTCAATACAATATACAGAAGACCCGTTTTCCTTGCCATTGTCCCAGGGGTCTGCGCATCACGTCAGCGAAGTACGAATCTTCGATCTAAAACGAACTTTTTGGACGGTCTTATACGGAGAAGAGATTAGAGCGAGGGTATATAGCAGTTTAGTGAAGTGCTGAAGTAGTTCTTAGCATAAAAATACAAAAAGGGAAGTTCTAATTGTCTTAGGTAGCTTGGTTACAGGTTTTGCATGAGCAAGTTGCAATTGATCGCGTGTCCCCGTGACCTTTAATTTGAGCCTGGCTGTCGGGGCGGTAATTTATCTGGCTATTAAAGGATAATTTGCAAAATTATAAATTATTACAGCAATCTTTTGTAAAACGTAGAAAATAACACACGTCTCGGTAAATATAGGACATTGCTTTGATTAAAACAATCAGGGGCAAAATCATATAGTATAAGTATAGGTTTTGGAGTGGGGTTTTTTCTCGTTAGAACAGGCGGGAAGCACCTAATTACAAAGTATGTAGAAATACACCGCGTTATCAGGCCTCTAAAGGCTAGCCATCTTTTGCGTAGATATGATGCGATATGGCGCACGGCTCGGACAATAGAGCAAAGCAACCCGACACCAAGCGGTGTTGTTAAAATTTAAAAGATATTTTATTAAATTCTTTTCGATATATTAACCGTTATGTGAGCGCGACTTTTAGGCGTCGAACGATGAGTCAAACGGCAACCCCAGTGTGGCAAAATGTATGGGAAATTGTTGCGATACAACTTGCCAACAATCTCTCGCGACGTTCGCTCGTATTTGCTCAAGTATATTTACTCGAAGTGTTAAGATAACAAATACGCGCTAATATTGGGGTTATGTGTAGAAATGTTTAATTACAGTCTTTTATTATAATATGATTTTATTTAACCACAAAGCTAGCTTGTTAAAACGTACACAACAATTGCAAGCCGACAAGCCAGGCAGCCGAATTACTCCGACGACAAACTGCCGAAATTTTTATGCGAAGTTCAGATACAGTTATACTCAAGAGTTTAAGGTGCTAATCGGAGTCTTAGCATATAATCTCTGCTAAACTTATGCTTAGAAAGACCTGTAAACTTAACAAGCAAGTGAAGCATGTCAGATTTATACACAGAACAATGACAATATAAGGGATTCAGCTTGCATAAGCCGATAATTGCATGGTAAATATAATTTTCAGCTCAAAAGCGAGATTTACTTTGGCTAACATTGTTAGACGCGCTAAGGGAATATCAAATCAAGGATTTTTTTCTTCTATTTCTTTGAAGTGTCCTAATCCGTAGACGCGTAAAACGAGATTAGTTTTAATATTAATGTTAGGAAAAGCTGGGCAAGCGTATTAACTATACGAGACATGGACAATATGCAAAATTATGTGAAAGTTGAGAAATTTAGACTAAGGATATGTTAGAAAATTATTATGATTTGAGGATTTGGAATTAAGGGTAAATATGGCTCGTAATATCGAAGCATGTTTCATAATTTTTAAGTAACGTTGATCGAACTCCTATATTAATTAAAGGACCTCACAAATATGTGTCTGCTCAAATTTAGTAAAGTGAAATAAAGTGGGGGTGTGCTATATCATTCCTTACTTGCAGCTGAGAGCTAAGCTGAATGGACCTATTCCCTAAAGAACAAAATTTTGATCTAGACAAGTCTAGACAAAAGTTTCATCACAGCAAGAAAGAGCATCACAAAATTAGTAATATTTCGAAGTTTCGTTGCGAAATGTAGTAAAATGCGTATAATATAGCCCTGCGAATTTTACCGTTTTTCAGTCATTTTGTATTACGCACGTGAAATTGATATCGCTTTCTGAAAAAAAGGTATCAATTTCCCGCGCGTAATACAAAATGACTGAAAAACGGCAAACTTCGCAGTGCTATATTATCCGTATTTTACAACATTTCGCAACGAAACCTCGGAATATTACTAATTTTGTGATGCTCTTTCAAACCGTGATGAAAATTTTGTCTAGACTTGTTTAGATCAAAATTTTGTTCATAGGGAATATAGGTCCATTACGGAAGGACGCAGCTCAACCTGGTCGACTCGAAGGGTTTCTAAGAGCGCCTCTGCGTGGTGACCACGTTATGACTCATCTCTGATGACAGAGCACAGATACGGTGGAAGGATCAGTTAGGAGGGGCTAATCCCAACCCACCCTGTCAATATTCTCTGTGGGGGGAAACTGCATGGAGTACACCCGGAGAAAACCCACGACTTTCTGCGTGGAGTCATGACATAAGTGTCGTGAATCCGCAGCGAAAATCGTGAGGTGATATAGCCGCTTGCCCTGACCACGCCACCGAAGCTCCGATAGGAGGTGTCCGCTTAAAGGGGTATCCGCTTAAAGGTGCATCTGTAGTTAGATACTTCAACAATAAGCTTGCGAATACTATTAAACGCTGACTGCGATGGAACCCCGTATTTAATAAATGAAATATACAATGCAGTCGGTCCGACCAGAACCATATAGGAAAATGATGAACGACACACGTAAAACCTATCCTTATTTCTTCTTTTATAGGTATACAGTAAAATCACACACAATTTTTCTAGACATCCAAAGACAGTAACCGGCATTTTTGTCCATCTTCATCCCACATTGTTGAATGCAATACTGTCAGATCCGTTTGAAGATTAAGTTGGGTCTGTTTATGTTGGATCAGCTAGGTCAAAATTTCCATCCAAAATCGTCCGACATTAATGGACCTGTATTTGACGTGTTGCTGTGCACAAGTTCGATCCATGACAAGCTTGCCACAACGTCTCAGACGATACAATGGCGTTTCTGCTAAAAAAACCACTCTAAATACAACAGACACTCCCAAACAACGGACGTGAGCTCAGGTACAGAATGTTTCTTATTGAAATCCTCATCTTCGGTGGCGCAATCGTCAGAAGAAGCATCTTTCATCTCTGAGATCATGCGGTATACACGAGGTTCGATTCCCGCTACGGACTCGTGACACTTCTTTGAAAAGAGTCAGTCAACGGCAACGCTCTGTCGAAAGTCGTGGGTTTTCTCCGAGTAAAGACGACATTAGAGAGGTTAAGATACCTCGGTGTACGTGTACGGGTAGCATGCTTTTGGTTAGCAATATTTTCGTCCATGTCTGTACTTTTACTCGTAATTAAGGGGCACATTTTTTGCATTATATCATTGGCTATTGCAAGAAAACACAAAAAGTATGATCGAATTAAGCGCCCCCTTCGAATACGTGCCTCTCCCCTCGCCACGCCACGCCCACCCTTACAATAAGCGCTTTGTAGTTTCATCAGCATTGCTTGTTATATTATGTAGTAATCCACAATATGCAGTAAATTCTCTATAGTTAATATACGAGGAAAAAATTATAATTAGATGCAGGGCTTCACCTTCTCTGAAATCTACATATGCAGGACGTTTTATATGATTTAAGCTGGTTTTCCACTAGCGATTTTTTTCGCGCGAAGCGACCTAAGCTTTTTCCTTTGTCGGCATCCATTTTACCACGTCTTGCTGACGTAATAAATGATACCGACAAAGGAAAAGGGTTGCTTCGCGCGAGAAAATTCGCTAGTGGAAAACCGGCATTACACAGGAAATTTTTATTTTTGAATTTTGCTGGCAGGAAGAGAAATATATTTTCTCGGCATGCATGTTATATCAGAGTGACAATGTTAACTCTAGTAGCCTGAAGGCCCATTTCTACTCAAGAAAATTTTCCACCGACAGAGAATTTTCCGAAAATATCATTGTTAAACGTTGAAAATTTTCAACTTCAAAATTTTTTTTCGACGTTAAATTTGTGTAGGCCAATCACATTTTACAAATTTTTCTTTTCTTTCAAAGTTTTTCTTGAGTGGAAACGGGCCTTTAATCTTGTATTTGGAGTCAAATAAACAGAATTGGAATATTTAGTTTTAATATTCGTGGCCACCACGTGCTGGTGAGTATTAAAGGCTTACTGGACCCCACCAAAACACGTTGTGCTGTCGGAAAATGTGACTGGAGAAAATTGATTTGTTTCATTCATTTGCACTTGAACCTCAAACTATGACAAGGGGTACAGTAAATATAAGATGAATTAGGATATTAATTTGTCTGTATTATAATGCGATCTAAGCCTTACGAAGCATTAGTTTGTTCCTGCCCCGCCATACCTGGATTAGGAAATATTAAGTGTTTGTTGATTTTGTACAAGTTTAGTCTTTAAAAGGGACTTTAGGGATTACAAACTGACATTGACTTTTCTTTAAAAAACAACCCTCTCTATATATGGAGAAATGATCTAAGAGATCTGTTGGTAAAGTGTAGGGCAGGAAACGGGTAATCCGCGGAGAAGCATAACAGTTTACGAGCACCAATCAACGTTAGTTTATGAAAATACGTCAATGAAAATGTAGCGTCTTCTAGTTCTAGAATATTTTTCTGCGAACGTATTGATTAAATTTAGGTTTTATGCAGCATCGTTATTTTGAGCCCCTTTGGCTTTGAGTACATGACCCTGTTTTTTTCTCTTCAATCATGGACATCAGAAGTTTAGCATAATTAACGCCTTCTTGTGTGTTGTGTGATATATTATAACTTCATATATTTGGTCTATAGTTTTTCACATCGAATATCTATATAAAAATGCCCAATGTGTAATGGCCAAAATGATGTGACAATCGAAATAATATATATGAAAAACTAGTAAGACAAGTACTAGTATAACAGTAAATAAAAAACACGTTCGACAACAAATCCACTTTTAAAATGTAATTTTATATAACAGTATATAAACAGTGATAACTTATCTAGGATTCATTAAGTTTGGTTTAATAAATTCTACTCTGTTCATGATATATAACGGTAAATATGCGACTCCTGTGGTGACAAATATTTCCAATATTTTAATATTTTGGCGATATAAACAACTTAACATATGTCGCACTAATTAATTTATTATCATTTTTTAATAAACAAGTTTTAATAAACGTTACAAATGCACTACATGCTGGGCTTCAAAAAACACACACTAATATCAGTTATACACTACACCTGCACAATAGGTTATACATCAGGACATTTTTCAACTATAAAACTCGTGGGGTATTTTATACCCATGCATAGGCCATTTGCTTGCCGCCATTATTGAAACCAGATTTTCAGATGAGCTGGGCCCTTTTTATCATTAATTAATAAACAACCTAAATCAACGAAGGCTGCACCTGCTTTCTTTCTCATAATCTCTCACATTCTCTATACATCTTAAAAAAGTCAGCACAGAATGGTCTTAATACATTTAAGTAGTCTTAACTGTGTGGGGAGAAGACTCTCATGCATTAAGACTTTGCCCCAGTAATTGTAATTTATTATATGCAAACAGAAGGATCGGCAATCTTCGAACAGATAAAATACACTGTTAAATATATACAGCAAATTGTCACGAGACATTAAAAAGCATAATATACAGTCACAGAAAACAAATTATCTCTAGAAATAAGTTATCTCTGACTCATTGAAAAGTATTTGAAATACATTGTAAAATGGCAGTTGTCAATACATATATTTTTGTCAGGAAGGTTTGTCAGTGCAAAGACAAAGTGTATCTATGGCAGAGAACAATGGAACTTGTCCTGAGCATAAATAAAATAAAATTGGAAAGGAACCGAAGTTTTTAAAATAGCATGTTAAATATAGACTAATATTACTGTGCAGTTTCGCATATATAGACTGCACTCGTCAGATTATTTTTATCATATATAACTCAAAAAACAACTTTGATTTTAATAGTGCATATAACATATTAAAACAGTCACGTTATTGGAGAAAGTTTTAATGCCAGCAAGTTAAGAATTACATGAGTCACTTCCTAACACTAATGGGATCCGATGCGATCAATAATGAGACATGTACACTATAACTGTTTTGCGCATGCGTGAAGGGTTCAGTTTAATGGGGCCCAAGTTTTAATTTCATCAAATGACAAAGAGTGATGAAGTAATTCGAACTAATCTCGCTCACCCTACGTTTTGATGTGGAATGATCAATCATATACCAAACAAAGATTGATTAAAAACTCAATGTGATCCATCATACTTAATATACCAGCTACAAAATCCCTGCAACATGACAATTATACTATGGAGATGAAGTTATTTTACTGTGCAGTCCAAATGGAGCCATATCATTCACATGAGTCACGATATATAGGAACAGTTACTATTTTTAGACTTTTAGGGTTAGGATTAGGGAAACTAAGATTAGGGTTGGGATTACAGTGGATTACAGCAAGGGTTAGGTTTAGGATTAGGGAAAGGGTTAGGATTAAGATTAGGGTTAGGATTACAGTATAAGGGTTAGGTTTAGGATTAGGGTTAAGTTTAATTAAAATACAAAAGAATTCAAAAAAGTCTAAAGAATTCACAAAAGTCTAAACTATAATAACTCTTCCTAAAACGTGACAATCAAACAAAATATTCGTTTCAGACTTGGTCGGCGACTCGCCGAGCATTGTCTCAAGATTGGATATCCCGCGTTAGGTGTATCCATAATAATACTGACCCAATAGTTCAATGGTTAGAGCGCTGGTGTGTTAAACTCGATTACCAGTTGGGACACTCGGAAACAAATTTTTCAGCAAGTGATATTTGGCTCCATTTGGAGAACATAATTTACCCTAACAATTATACTCATGAGAGGGCTTTATAAACTTGACCCTATAAAATAACTTTGAGCCCTGTAATATAACCATCATAGTGAATTATTTTAACACTCATGGGTAGAGTTCGGCGATGTTTTAGGGTCAGGTTTCAGTCAATGTTATTCGATTTCTTTCATTTACTTATATGACTTAACAAATATAAAACATTTTCCGTGTTGATATACAGTTTTAGTATTTTGCACAAGTGCACATAACAAATCCTACACGTTGATTGGTCAAATTTGACGTATTAAGCTGTTATATTCACCTACGGGTGAATATAACAAAACCAAAATTTTCAAAATGGCAGCTTGCCGTTTTGTGGAAGTTACTGATGAAATGCGTGAAATTAAAATAAATTCAGTCCCAAAAACACAAAGGACTTGTGTAATTAAAAATAATAAAACAATTATTCGCCTCAGGCTCGGTGATTATCGGGGAATATTCACCTCGACTTCGTCTCGGCGAATATTGACAATATTCCTCGATAATCACCTCGCCTTCGGCGAATAATCGTTAAATAGCAACACGAGTGAAAATTGGGAAAACGAGAAATTGTGTGGAAACACGACGCTCGGAGGGCGGAGTGTTTTCATTTTTTTTATAATATAAAACACGGCTCTTAGCCAATCAGCGTTCAGAATTTACAAATTCTATATTATAAATGAAATCCTAACGCAAAAACTTTTCTATAGAAGATACTAATTGATAGATAGGTATACTGAGTTATACGTACATCATTAATAAGCTGATTCTAGCAAAAAGTCGATCTTCTGTCAACAGTCAACATTGAAAAATGTTCGTTTTACTTCCTTTAGCTCAACAACTATAATTAAGTCACTTCCGTCTCAGTTAAGTGCAGGTAAATTACGTCTCACTCATGCATTTGTTCCATTCGACCTCGAGAAACCTAAGACAGCAGACGCTTAACCTCAAAATCAAGTGAATTAAAGAAAAAAAATGATGTTGCAAAGCTTCTTCGTTATCCTGGTTCTGTGCGGATTGGTGCTACCAACACTGTCACTGACTCAAAAGGTACTATTTCTCATTTCACAAGCAAGCTATGTTTGCTAACTGAGCAATTCTGGTCTCATCTCTTTTGGTTATCATACAACTTTTCACATTTAAAGTATTTTTCTAGCATAAAATAGAAATACTTCATCGACGACAAAGTCTGAATAACTGTAAACAAATTACCTAAACACAAAACAAGTGTAACTCCTAAGATATATATATATATATATATATATATACAGGGTGTATAAAAAAAAACGCAACCTCGGAATTTCCTAAGAAATTACTTTGCAATTCTTAAGCATAAAAGATTTTAAGCCCCTGGGAATTGAAATCGAATTGCTAATAGATCTTATTACTGTTGTTGTGCATTAAATAAATGCATAAATTTTGCTTTATGCACTCGCGTGTGCAATAATTTTGACAGTTGTGCTATTTTAAATTCCCATATATATATATATATATATATTTATATCTGATAAAACACTCCTACAAGTGCTTTAAATGGCTTAAAAAACGACTGATCTTATATGAGTTCATTGGCGAAGTAATTTTTAAAATAAACTTTGTCTAAACCGACAAAATCAAAGCTAAAGTTTATGTAAATTAACATGATTTTTTTTTGGAGCGTTTAATTAATTAACTATTCAAGGTGTATAGCCATGCCTGCACATTCTTTCACTGTAAATTCAAAAGAAAGTTCTGGGGTTCTGAACTCTTTTGAATTAACAGTGCTGAAACGGAAATCCATATACAGCTATCTAGGGTGTATAAAAAATAACTATTGTACGTAAATTACTCGGCGTATGAACCAAAAATTTTCATAGTCGGAAAGATCAGGCTTTTAGCTATTGAATGGCATGTTTGTCATGCCAAGTGGAGAAAAAATAAGCAAATATTAGTCCAATAAAAAATGTTAGTCAGAATCGCATATTTTCACCTCTGTGCCTAATTAATCACGAACTTAGGCCCGGTTTAGACGCCGTGCTTCTCATGAGCCGAACTTAATGTTAATTAACTAAGTTCTTTGTTTAAGCTCATTTGCATTAAGTTCGGCTCATGAAAAGCACGGCGTCTAAACCGGGCCTTACATACATACATACAAAACTCTGAGGGGCATGAAATTACCTATTTACAAGAAATTAACTATTTATACAAATACAGAATTTTGGTTATAAGGTTATTGGTAATTGGTAATAAGGGGAAAGGTCTATTGCCAATTTCCACCTATCGAGGAAAGTGTGCTTGCAGGTACATGTATGTACGAATTTCCGTTGCAGCAGCGTGAATTCAAAAGAGTTCAGAAGCCGAGAACTTTCTTTTGAATTTACAGTGAAAGAATGTATCAGAATGGCCATGCACCTTGAATAATGAATTAAACACTCCAAGTAGTATTACATATAATAATATACAAATAATGAATGTCTATGAGTGCAATGGAAAGAATATTTTCATGAGGTGAAAGATGGAATGTTCCATTCAACGAGGCGACAGCCGAGTTGAATGGAACATTCCATCTTTCACCTAATGAAAATATTCTTACCATTGCACGAATAAACATTCATTATTTGTTTTATATAATACCAAAATAGACTGAATAGATTCGTATGAGAAGCATTTTGACGGATGCGATTTATCGAAAACACAAAGAGTGCAATGGAATAAAACGTATAGTACAATTGCACTCGCATTCCATTGCACTCTTGGGAAATGGAATTTTCTATTCAATATCACGTGACCATAAACAGCCAATTAAACGATCAGAATTCAATAAGGTATTATTGAATTCTTATTGAATTATTGAATTCAATAAGGTATTATTGATCAGAATTCAATAAGGTATTATTGAATTTCTTGGTTTAAACCCAAGAATTGTTTAAACTATATATATATAGTTTTTCGTTTTACCTCAAAAAAACAACAACAGTCTGTTTCATCCGTATAGGAAACCACCTGACGATTCCTATACGGATGAAACAGACTGTTAATTGTGGGTTTTTTTGAGGTAAAACGAAAACCTATATTACGCTCTATATCTATACATATGCTTTTGAGCACTGTATGTATGTATATATACGTCTTTTTTAACAGCCTGTTCGAACCAACACATATAATAAACCCAAGAATTGTTTGGAATTTTTAAAACTTGGCTACAATTCAGATGGATACTACCGTATATACATTGGAAACACTGTTCATACAGTCTACTGTGATATGAATTCAGAAGGTGGATCTGCCTGGACACTAATTATGTCATATGCTCTTGAAAGCAACAAAATGTCAGAATTTAAGAGAAAACCGTTGCAGGTGAGATCACGTACATTATACAAATGAATTTCATTTAGAACTGATAAAGTACTCAATATAGTGACTACAGACGTACATGTCATGTCCTTCATGGCGTTTATCTTCGGCTGTAAGAAAGTCAAACCATATATAAAGACTATATAGAAGGGCACTCCGTTTACTTCGCCAGGCAAGTAAGATTACACATGCAAAAATCTCACATCTTGTAACAACTGAAGTCTGCTAACAAGCCGTCAACAAGTTGTGTTCGCACTGCTTGTTAATACTGACTTGTAACAACCTTGTTGATATTATCAGACTTGTTGCAAGGTTGTTCCAACAAGTCCGATGCAGTCATGATATATAACAATTATATTGTTACAACCTTGTGTGGTCAACCTTGTAACATTCTTGTTATATCATGACTGTATCAGACTTGTCAGAACAACCTTGTAACAAGTCTGATAATGCCATCAAGCTTGTTACAAGTTGTTAACAGCTTGTTCCAAACTTGTTACAACAACTGGGTACATGCAAGCAGTGCGAAAACTTGTGAACAGATTTGTAACACTGACTTATGCGTTTTTACGTGTGTAGCCTGCAAGCCAGAGATCCACTGACCAGCGAGCCAGAACACCCGCGCGAGAGCTGGGCGTAGGCGGCGGAGTGAACTGGAAGCCAAGGATTGCAGAATATATAGTACGTCACTTTTTGGCACTTAAAGGGTAATGGCAATAAAATTTTTTATTGCTTTATCTGAAAGAGCATGAAAAAATAAGTCGATTGGCCGTTTACTGCTCTATTCTATCTCATCTGGTTCCGAAGTTATGCGCAAAAATGTGCAAAATATAAATTGCTGATTCAGCACAACGTGTGACGTCATTGGTAGGGTAAGTATGTTTAATGAATAGTAAACTGAAGCATAGCTCAGTTATTATTGGCTCAAATCAAATGACATTTTGCATACAGATAGTACATGATGAGACGCATGGGAAAATACTTCTAATTTTGTTGTCAAGGCAACGCAGTCGTTCCCAGGCCCCTTACACTGATTTTGAATAACTAGTTGCATTTATCTATGTGTATGTCATTTTCGAATTATTATCATGCAAGTAAACTTTTCGCATGCATAGGTATGGTACACATACTTCTGACATTATTTTATTCTTATAAGTACCATGAATAAAGCCGTTTTATAAAATTGGCGCAAGGGGCCTGGGAACGACATTGTTACCTTGGCAACAAAATTAGAAGTGTTTTTCAATGCGTCTCATCCTGTACAATCAGTATCCAAAATTTCATTTGATTTGGTCCCATAATAACTGAGCTATGCTTCAGTTTAGTATTCATTAAACATACTTACCCTACCAATGACGTCACACGTTGTGCTGAATCAGCAATTTATATTTTGCACATTTTTGCGTATAACTTCGGAACTAGATGAGATAGAATAGAGCAGTAAACGGCCAATCGATTTATTTTTTCATGCTCTTTCAGATAAAGCAATAAAAAAATTTATTGCCATTACCCTTTAAGCTACAGGGTGTTGCCCAATGGACCTATTACCTAATGAACAAAATTTTGATCTAGACAAAGTCTAGACAAAAATTTCATCACAGCTTGAAAGAGCATCACAAAATTAGTAATATTCCGAAGTTTCGTTGCGAAATGTTGTAAAATGCGTTGAGTATAGCCCTGCGAAGTTTGCCGTGTTTCAGTCATTTTGTATTACGCACGGGAAATTGATACCTTTTTTCAGAAAGCGGTATCAATTTCCCGTGCGTAACACAAAATGACTGAAAAAGGCAAACTTCACAGGACTATATTATCCGCATTTTACAACATTTCGCAACGAAACTTTGGAATATTAATAATTTTGTGATGCTCTTTCAAGCTGTGATGAAATTTTTGTCTAGACTTGTCTAGATCAAAATTTTGTTCATTAGGTAATAGGTCCATTCCGTCACAAGCCATGCACAGAGGCTAATGATACACACGCTCGACAACTAATGCACATGGGTTAGTTTTTGTGAGGGAGTACCACTATTAGATCAGTGGGGAGTACCCGAACATCTACCCTGGTTGCCAGAGGTTCTCGTATCTTTCGCCTAAATACGAGCGGGAATAAGGCGAAAGATACGTCGAGAACCTCTGGCAACCAGGGTAACGGACATCGATCTCAGTGTGCAAGGATGTTGCCCAATTCAAATAATACTAAATATACCCTACCCTTGACATACAGTGCTTACTCTTTTCTTTTGAAGGCTAACGCCCCAGTGAACGAGTTGTCTCCCAACTGGAACGCATACCGCATGGCTGTGACGGGAATGAAACACCTTGCCTCTCTCTCTACTCACTGGCGAGCTACCTGCGACTTTCCGAACTATGGCGTTGATTACACCGACTATGTGAGAGGAAAATTCTCCGATTTCGACATCATGACATATCGGGGTTCTGGCGCTTGCAAGAAAATTGAATATGTCGACATTCGAGGTAATCGATGCGTCCATTGCACTGCCGGGTGGTGGCAAGAATCGGGAAGAAGAAGTCCCCACATGGTTAGTTCATATTCAGGGTGTCAGTTTAATGGGAGAGCCGGTGCAGTACGAGGCGAAGATAATTTCAACTACTACGACGATTTTAACAAAAAGTTCCGTTGCTCGTCCAGCCCTAAAGCAACAACAAATTGGTGGTTTGGTGGATATCTTTAAGAAACAAACGACCGAGCTTTTCAAGGAAAATAAAAACTTGTAGTTTTTCTGATTAGATAATTTCATTGCCAATATATATCCTTATCGTAAGCCAATTCTTGTAATTTTGATTTTGAAATCATAAAACTACATATTACATCAAATTCTGCAGTGCTTTTCATTTTTAAGAATTTATAAAATATATCCTTGGATTTCATATGACGTCACAGAAGTGACGGGGGGTGGGGGGGCGGTCAACTCTAAAACAAAACACAGTTATCAGAGTGAGTCGATTGTTGGTTTTATGTATTAGCCTTGTGTTTGGTGGCAAATAAATGGAATTTCGTATTATTTTCTCACTCCAGTACAGCATAAGCATCAATACATTTGAGGTTGACCCCCCGTCAAATTCACTGCATAATGCCGTAGTGAAACCCAAGAATTCCATCACATATAAAGTATCTACAGGCAAATTATCGCTCCAAATGGTGCAGTGAAGTCAATTACTCTGTTCTATTAACATTAGCAAGATAACTACATATACTATATATCTTAATTTGTTTCAACGTTTTTCTTTTTATATACTTCTGAGCATTTTATACATATACATAGATATTTTTACAGTATATTATAAATAAATCAATGACAACAATTCTGTCACATATAAATACCAATGACACACACGTTTATGTGAAATGCATTTCTTAACGAGGACACACGCATTAGCAATTGCAAGAAAACACAGTTGAGTTGGTAGAATGTTGTGATAGGCCTTTCAAAATAGGGCGTTAACTCTCCCCTCGTATCTGTACATAATTTCCTCTATTAAGCGCACTTGGGGCTTATTTTCTCTACTGGGTCTGGACTGGAGACTTATCAAAAAGGGGGCTAAATAAATTTTCACTTTCTTTAAAAAGATAATGTTTCCAAATTTATACGGTATCGTGTGACCGTATGGTTTAACACTGTTACCCATCTTAAGGTCATGTTATACACAAGGCAATTTTTTGTGCATCTTGCAATGCAATTTCTTTCTGAAAAAAAAACTTTGCAGGTTGCATTGAAGTGTCACACCAGTGCAAGTTGTTTTGCAACCGGCATAAATATCTGTTCCGTTTCGTGTTGGTTTATCTTCAAAGACATGCAGGGTACGTATACAAGTTAAGAAAAGTAAGGGTTTTCAAGGCCAGAAATCAGTAAAAAAAAGGGCCTTAATTGATCCTTGTCACTGTACTGATGTCGAAAATGCTATCAACTCAACTGCATATATCCATGCATGAGGGCAGTGTGATTCGTTGCAAACACAAACCATCTGATCCAAAACATGCACCACAGCAATCCAATCACACATCTAGCAAGAAACATCCTTCATTAGGAAGGCGTCAACGACCTCTGTAGTACAACTGTCTTTGAGGAAGGCTCTGCAGGAAACAAACCGTGCGGAGACTCCAACTTCTGGTTGAGAACCTTGCTTGCCGCAGCTAGTTTCGACGTCGTGGAAAGGCTCTTTGGTAGTCGTAATGATGTATCTTCAAATGATACTGATACTGAAGTTGACAAGGTGCTGGCTAAGGAAGTTCCTTCTTCACTTTGTCTACTTTCACGTTTCTGTTTGCGCCATTTTGCACGACGATTCTTAAACCACACCTAGACCAATGAAAGATAAAATTCAGAATATAACATACAGATTACAGAGTATAAATTTTATGTTCTCACTCTGATAACAGTTGAGCACCGACTGCTGCACGATAGTGCTTAGTGAAAGCCAGCTATTAATGGACCATTTAAATGGCATTATAGACTAAATTTTGATCTAGACAAAAATTTCATCACAGCTTGAAAGAGCATCACAAAATTAGTAATATTCCAAAGTTGCGAAATGTTGTAAAATGCGGATAATATAGGCTTGCGAAATTTGCAATTTTCAGTCATTTTGTATTACAAACGGGAAATTGATGCCCCGTAATACAAAATGTCAAAATGACTAGTGAAAAACGGCAAACTTCGCATGGCTATATTATTCGCATTTTACAACATTTTGCAACATTTTGCAACGAAACTTTGGAATATTACTAATTTTGTGATGCTCTTTCAAGCTGTGATGAAATTTTGTCTAGATCAAAATTTAGTCTATAATGCAAATGGTCCATTATAATTTATTTTATTATATATTGGAATAGCCCAACGCATTTTAGTGCATTTCAATCGATGTGGGAATGAACACCGAGTTAAACCAGAAGTGTAGTGGGGGGGGGGGGCTCATGGGAGGACGGCGGTTGGGGGTTGCAATTTCATCTTGTGGGGGCTGTGTCCCCCTTAAGAAGTTTATCAAGAGAGAAAATTATCCTGTATATTATAACCATAGGCGTACCGGGCGGGGGGGGGCGGTAGCCCCCCCAGTTTTTTGGGCAGTCGGGCAATATTCGATGAACAGTCGGGCAATTTTGGTTTGCAATAAAAAAAAATGGGTCAAATTCTGTCAATTTTGTCTAAAATTAATTCAATTTTTTGGCAAATTTTGGTTTTTTCGAAAATTTATGTTATGCTCCGGAAAAATTGTTTGTCCGGAAAATTTTTTTGACCCCTAAAATGGTACACTGACCGAAATTTTTTTGGCGACGGGGGGGGGGTAGCCAAAATAATTTTTCCGGAAAAATTTTTTTGTCCTAGTCGGGCAGAATCCCGAAAAGTCGGGCAGAATCTCGAAAAGTCGGGCAATTTTCTTTCCGCCCCCCTAATTTTTTCCTTCCGGTACGCCCATGATTATAACAATTCTTTGCCAATTAAATTTGCATTATTGTACAATTAAAGTACATTCGTAATGGTCGTAAAATAGAGTCACGATCTGTCTCAAAGGCCAGTTTATAATAGTTTATACCTGTAAAACATATATATTCTCAAGTTATAATCACTCCGCGTATTTTCAGTTCTAAAATGTTGTATTTCGGCTGCTGAGAAAGATCGTGACTCAATCTTTACGACTGTTACGAAACCAGGCTTTATATTGAAGATGGCATTGCGACTAATGAGCCCAGTATAGTGATTGTATTTTTCTCTCTCATATGATAAAACTATACAGTTTATTATAACATCACTTAAAATGCAAGAAATCGTGTTTTGGAGACACAACAATAGAGATTTCATGGCGGTTGATACCATGAAGGCCTCTCCCTTGAAGACCCCCCTTGTTAAAAATTAGGACTACGCTAATGACTTAAACGTTTAGAATGATAAAGTGGGAAGAGGAAAAGCAACAATTAACTACGATGAAAATTTTAAGTCGATTTTGATTCTCAATTTCCGTAACTAAACCATTATACCCTAATATTTGTCGACCCTTAACCGCGGATGTATTTGGCCGGTTGACTTAAGTTTTTGATATTAATGAACGAATTAGTTGCATAAACACTCATTATCACATCATAAAGCAAGCTAATTTATCTGATATTCAAAACAGGAGCCGTAAACTCATACACTGATACCACTTAAAAGTGAATTTAGCGGAATTTAGTAGGTATTTTACGCAAATTACAATAAGCTATTTGGGGAATGATGCGAAATTCTTCTAAAGTGGGTTCAATTCACACCTTTTCGCGAAATCAGACCAACGTGAAGCCGGTGCTCTTTTCAAAGCTTGGGAGATTTTTTAACTTAGTGTTAATGTTTGTAATAGGCTTATGCAGGATTTCGCTTATTGCGACAACACGGGAAGTGGCGAGGATATCATCAGGAACAAACACAGGCAAGCGTTTAAATTTCAGACAGCTATATGCAATGAAAACAAAACAACATTTTAAACTAACATTATCCATACTTGATAGCTCTATAAGTTCTAAACTATTCACTCCTTATACCAGCCTTCGTAACTGAATGAGCTAATAGCACCTAGCTTAAATGAAATCAGATCCATTCTCTCAGTCAAATTTACTAGATCGTTATGATGAATATCAATGGACATAAAAGAGCGCCTAGCACAATGAAATTTCTAAAAAGACTTATTAAGGGACTAGCATTTCGTCTTCTACTCAAGATATCTTCAGAGTTAATGAATTAAGATATAAAATTACAGATTTCTGGAGGTTAACCCTGGACTCTCGTAAATTGAACCTTATAGATCAACACATTCCTAATACACCCCAACAAGCTACAGCTGAATTTAACACTGTACTTGGTCAGATAGGATACAAATATAGATTATAGATCAATCTTTATACTGTGTGCCAGTTTGTTATCCTGTATATCAGTTGGCACGTGCCATGATAGATAATCGCTAAATTTAATTAATCACTCATGTAGAACGACCATATAGATAGTCATTTTACGGAACCATTGCGTGAAGTCTTTATTCATGCTTAGAGATGGTCATTATAGTTATATAGCTTCTAAAACCATTTCACCTACTATCAAAATTCAAGAATATATGATATACTTGACCTTACCATACTTAACTTTGAACTTAATGGAGAGAAACGTGCTCATGCAGTATGCATGCTAACCCAGAATGTCAAAGTAAACTCAAGTCCAAAGCGAGAGATTTTATCCAGAAGAAATTTAAGTCTATAGTATCCTGCAACATGAGTTTAAGATGTTGACATGCAGAATATCCTTTAAAGAAAAAAAGTCCGCCACGGATAGTTCATTCTTTTTCCGTCCGGCTATAAGAGACATGATTTCAATATAGTTCTTCATTTTACTTTGTTTTTCGAAGCGAACTTCTTTCGGTAAACTGTTGAATATTGCCATCGTTCTTTTTCGCTTAGAGGTCAGTTTTACCTTTTGGTACAACCTTTTGGTACAATTGGAAAAAATATTGGTAGGTTTGAACAGTATAGCTAATTTTGGGCAGTTTTTTAAGAGAAATAGTAAAAGTAGTTATATATAGTAAATTTTTAAATACTTGCCGAGAGATAACTTTGAGAGACAGGAAAAGAAACGATGATATTATGATGAAGCTGATAGGAAAAACTTGAAAGTTGATTGATATGGTTTAGATACCTATATATAGACAGCAGATGATGGAAAGATGATGGAACATCGCTCATAGACATCATGTCCAGAATGATTATGAGCAAACGAGGATGACAAAGAAAGGATATATGGTAAGAAAACATCATGAGACTTACAGGAACAAAATTTGGCAGAAAATTGTGCAAAGAAACACTTCAGAAAAAAGGTGGTTAAAATAACCCATTGATGATCTCGGATTCATAATGGTTGTTTTAACCAAGTTGATTTTACAGTGTATACAGACATCAAAGTAAAAGAAGAATTCGGTCGACCCTGCAGGCTAACTGAGATAATAAAAGTCTAAAGGCTAGTTCACACTATCAAAGTTTCTGTGATCACAGTAGGAATTTTGCACAGGTAAATTCTAAGTTTTGAAGGATTTGTAAGAAATGTTTGAGGAAACGGACTGAATCTTAAACACTGAGTCAGTTCACTCAAACACGTCTTACAAATCCTTCAAAACTTAGAACTTACCGATGCAAAATTCCTACTATGATCACAGAAACTTTGATAGTGTAATGGTACCAGCCTTTAAAGCAAGGAAAAAGTGTTTTGAAATCATTCAACAGTTAGGATTCAACTTCGAAAGAGCTCTTCTGAAATCACGTCTGTTTTACTCGTTCTTCCACACTCTCAATTCCTACACTTGTTTCTAAACTATTGCTTCACATACATACCTCGACACGTTCTTCTTTTAGTCCAGCCTTGATCGCCAGATCTTCTCTTAAAAGAACATCGGGGTAGTGTGTTTTTTGAAACGTCTTTTCCAACAGTTCCAGCTGTTCTTCAGTGAAGATCGTGCGGTGGCGACGTTTTCGTTTTGGTTGAAAACGGAAAAAGTCAGGGCCGTACGGTGTTGGCAATGTCACTGGAAAAGAGTGATTAGGATTTGATTTAAAGTTTGCTTTTAACACGAAGTTTAACAGAAAGTAAAACGTGTAATGTCATGACAAATATGATGAGAATACGGTAAATGGAATTTTCGAAAGAAAATGTTTGTACAATCTAAGGGCCGTTCACACTTGCATTTTTTCTGCGATTTCTAGCGCAATCTTCTCCTTCTGATGGATAAGAAGTAGACGAGTTATATGAATGTTCTGAGTACATCAGAAGACGTCATTTCGCTGACCTCAGAATGACATTTCGTCAAAACGTTTTTCTTCAAGATTGGTTTAAAAACAAACTTGGAGTAGAGTTAGATTATAGGGTTAGAGTTGGTGTTTGGAATAGGGTTAGTGTTAGTAACCGTTGCTTTGTTACGTTTTGTCACTCTGAGGCCAGCGAAATAATCTCTTCTTGAGTACATGTTCCTTCATCTGAGCATTTATAACTCATCCACTCCTTCACGTCCATCGGAAGACGAAAATCGCACTAGAAATGTGCGAAAGGAAAGTGTAAACTGGCCTTTAGACCTAACTGGGAGTTTTTCTTCGAAATTTCATCCACTAAAAACCCATCCACATTCGGTTCTATTGAAGTAGATACTCAAAACCTTGAGAATTGTTAGGACTTGTTTTTTCTGAAATACTACATGAACTAACTATATTTGTACTGAATAGATTTCTCAGTTCTAAACTGTTCTCACTAGAGGTCCACCAAGGGCAATCTCTCCTATTAGACCAATGTTACGATAAATCAGTGGTTTTGCTTATTCTACTGGAAAAAGATGAGGTTTAGTCTGAAATGTCATTGGGCTTTCACATTTTTTAGGAAGAAGAATAAGTCAAGCCTTTCTGAAAAAGTTGAACAAAAACGAAGTACAAGACAAAAAGATGAAGAGGATTTTAGACACATATTAAGTGGATCAACAACATAAGGTGTCCTTGCAGTATAGCAGACTGCGTAAAATGGACTTAAAACCGAAGTCAGTAAAAACAGCATGCATGCTGTTGTCAGCGCCAACGGTTCCTGGACCCACAGAGATTAAAGGAAGGAAGAAAAAGCAAGACTGACCGAGCTGTATAGTATTAATCAAGCTATGTTAGTCTAGGTTTCCTCATGTAGTAACACTGGATCAATAAATTATGGCCTTTACTGAAGTTATGGAGAAAACAGTTTTGAAGTGATAGAGGTATCCGGTACAAGTTAGGTTAGTTCTCTCCAATACAGTAACACTGGCGCAATAAGACATGATTTCAACTGGAACTCTAGGAAGAATAGTTTAGAACGGACAGAGTTGTCCAGTATAAACAAAGTTAGTTTAGTTTAGGTTTCCTCTTGTAGTAACACTGGACCAATATGCATTGAATGACTCTTGCCACACTATACTTTAAAGAAGAACAGTTTAGAACTGATAGAGTTATCGAGTATATAAATAGTGTTAGTTTAGTGCAGGTTCCCTCCTGTAGTAACACTGGATCAACAAGAGATGATCCTTACTGGATCTCTAGGAAGAACAGTTTAGAACTGACAGAGTTATCCAGTATAAACAAAGTTAGTTTAGTTTAGGTTTCCTCCTGTAGTAACACTGGATCAATAAGGAACTTATATAAAGTCAGTTTATTTAATGACACTCCAATATATCGAAACTCTATACTTACTCAAGTGATTGAAGTAACTTGCTTGGCTTGGACATGTTGGACAGGCGATAGGAAGTTGATACGGAGCTAGATATCTATACGTTGGTCTTGCCAGTATACTATCAATACTAAACGATGAACTGATGGACATTTCCAAAAACTTCCCAAACTTCGCAAGTTGTCAAGATTGATTTATGCTCTCGTTGAGTTTACAATACGAGCAGAATTGATTCCGCGTGGCGTCTTCAAAGGGGGTTTGGTATTTTATAAAAGGATTTGCGTATTAACGTAGAGTGTTAATTTTTTCACCGGCGCGTGAGACCGCCCCGTAATACGTCCTTTTCTTTGTGATTCATGGGGAGCGCAGCGATTCGACAACGCGTGCGGATGTGATTTAATGATGGCAAAGAGTCGCGCAAGATATGTCAGAGACAATTTAGGTAAACATGACAAGTGATTAGCTGTCTGTCATTTATGTAATTAATAATAACGATCCAGCGATACATGTCCAAACACGGCGATAAATTATACACCGTTTTGTGAAAATGTGAAATTCACATAAATTTATAGCTACATTTATAATTAATAGAACGGGGAGACATGTTTTCTAGGAGATGATATATGAAGCACAACACCAATGCCTCAGACCATTTTGTAAAATAAAAACTTTTGAATAAAAGTTTAAAATAAAATTTTGTATGTGTTTAAAGTTGTAGCTCCATTTATATTACAGAACCCTATACAACGGGCGAAACTACAAACAAATTAGTTAGCATATGGTGGTATGCATGCACATAACTGTAAGACAAGCAAAAACTGCTACGACCATTCCACTTGATAAAGTCGAGAATTTCGACTCCATTTTGGTCAATTGATACTCTGTACTGTATTGTACATACACGCGCGTACTTTTAATAGTTGTACTTGCAAAATTATTTCGGCTATTGCCTTACTCTTTGCCTTATATATACGTGTTCGCCAGACAGCTCTATTCTGTTTTTGCGTGTTCATTTTTCTTTCGTAAGCCCGTAACAATCTCTGGCACAGAGAGCGTGTCTGCCTGGCAGACATTCATATAATCATTGTAAAAATCTAGTGGATTTGTCTTTTACACTGTTTTTCAACATATAGCATTTTGATATATAATATAAATTAAGGAAATTGTCTTGCTCAAAGCAAGAAAAGACTAACTATCCTATGCGAGAACACGTCTTTCAAGAGTACTAATACAATATGTACTGCGTGTTTATTTGTTTTTCGCTATAAAATGAACAGGCGTAGCTGACATTTTATTTTCTTAACACTTCACGACACGACACTAAAGCCTTAAGCGGTACTTGTGAAACACATGTTCACTTCTCATACCCTCCCCAGAGCTCCACCTCGCTAGAGGCTTTTGTGCGCGCTTTAAAGATTAACACAATATAATGAAAACTCGTTTGTTTTATGTGCGCGCTTCCGAAAGCCATTTTGCCCAACGTCCGGGGTAACTTTGAACTCGGTTTTCAAAGTTAAACATGTTATGTAAAGCTACGAAATGTTATTTGTACACGCAATATACATCAATATAAAATTGGCCAATGTTAAAAAATCCCACACTCCCCCGGAAATCTATAAGACTTAAAGTAAATATCGGGGGGTTAGTCTAAATGCTTTGCAGGAGGCTCAAATTCGGTTCAGGTTGGAAATTATGTGTGAAATGACAAGTGGCAATATGTTCGAATCTCCCCCCCCTGAAAACTATTAGATTTAGCATAAATTACGGAGGGTTAGTCCAAGATCTTTGCCAATTTAATTCTTTGCAGGAGAGCAACGTTCCAGCTTGGTCGAAAAGACGTGAGTGCCAATATGTACAATACATTAATATTAAGGTGTATTTACCTGGTCCACAACCCCCCGGAGATGTATAAAATTTAGCATAAATTTCGGGCGGTCACCGCAAACTCTTTGCAGGAGATCTGCATTCATTCCGGCTTGGTTTACATTGCGTTTTTAATCATTCCTCGTAGCGCTTTCATAACTCCACTTACACCCACCGCGATCTATTTGCTTGGCGCGCGTCTGTTGTTGATGTTGTACTAACATAAGCCTTCCTAATGCCTCCATGTAATTTTAATTACGCTAATTACATCGACAAATAACGTGACAGCGGCCAAGGGCCCATGGCAAGCCAACGGCTAGCGGCTTGAAAACAGAAGGTATATTCCCACTGGCAAGACTTAGAAAGTTTTCTATCAAGTATAAAGTAAATACTATCAAGTGGGTGCCGTTTTAGGGAGGTTTTGTATAAGGGAATATATCGGAAATGAAGCGATAAGCACGCAATAAAGCTATTGTATATATGAATGATAAATGTTGAGCCGTTATACAGTTCTTAGAATAGAAACTGGGTATATAACTAACCTTCAGAACTATAGCTATTATACAGAATATGAAAAAGATTCTTCATGTATGATCGAGCTAGCCTCAATATGAAATTCTCTAGTGAAACTCCATACCAGAATTCTGAAAACTATACGCTTTGAAAGAACAATCTCGATTTAAAATTTTATCTGAGTCAGAAGAGGTTTCTTCAAACATTTCACTGGTATAAAATTCTGCGATAAAATATATTTACTTATACTGTATATCTACATTATTTATCTATACAACCGCGATTTTATCTATACAACCGATTATGTGCTTTGAAAGAATAATCATGATTTAAAATTTTATCTTCAAGAGATTTTAGCCAGTTATCAATGGTTTAGTGAGCTTTCTCACTGACTGATAGGCCTGATACGGTAATTCTCTCGTGAAGAAGAACCTGTGCTCGGTTTAAAGGAGATTTTTCAGTTGTATGTTTATACATGCGCTTAAAACTGACCAGTATAATGACGATAATGCCACTTGGCTTAAAAATTTTAATTTGAAATACGTGACTTTTCTGTGTTGGTGTATAGTGTACACAGGTGAATATGATGCTTGTGATGTTACTCTGAGTGTATATCTACACCGGGCAAGCTTGAAAAATATGCCTGGCCAAGGTGGGAATCGAAGCTACGCCAACTGAGCTACGCGGTCAGGTCGGTTCGAGTATGTGATATTTCGGAAGCGAATCTAGTTCCTTCGATATGAATGTAATCTAATAATCATGACTCAATTGGTAACCAAACTTCAAAAAAATATGTTCAGCTGCACGAGCTATGAAGTAATGCTATAGTATATAAAGAGATTTTAGTTGGTGCATGGGCCGAAGGGTAAACGAGGTTTGTTTATATTGCTGTAAGTATGCAGCTAATTCAAAAAATGTTGTGCTTTGAAAACCTTAAACTCTATTAACCTTACCCCTTAAACTCTAAGAGTGCAAAGCATATAAATGGGAGCATCATTTAATCAGAGTTAGAAAATCATATATATATTGGGCCCATTTTTTAGAGACATGGTAAATATCTCCTTATACGAGAACAATTTATTCACAAATGGCTGCAATATTCAACTACTATAGCTTGAAACTTGTGCTCCCATTAATTTTGCGCGCTTAGAATTTAAGGTTTAAGGCTTTTCAAAGGACAAGCTTTTTTGAATTGGCTGTACAGCTATATGGCATCAATTTCATCGAACATTTATATAATGTATAGCTGTGCTGTAATCACCACAAGCTCTACAGGGTTTGTAGTCTCCAAGACCAAAAAAATTCAAAGACTTTCAAAGATTTTTTCTGCCTATTTTCAAAGACTTTTCAAAGACCTTTGGGAGCAATCAGCTGTCGAAAAATTGCGAGTGTAAGCACCATTTTTACCCGGTAATTAGTCCCGTCAAATCACATCCTAAAATGCACCTTTTCGTCGATATTTGCGAAAATCTTGATTCAATCAATCTAGTTTATTAGCTAGGAAATCGTATAATCAATTCCTCACTAAAGAATTTAAAGACTTTTAAAGACTTTCTTCGCTTTTTCACACAATTTAAAGACTTTTCAAAGACCTCAAAGACCTGCATTCCAATTTAAAGACTTTCAAGGATTTCAAAGACCGCTACGAACCCTGCTCTAGATTAACAAAACAAAGGTTTGATGATTGTTCCAACTATGTTTTAACTTAAATAGAATACATGATAGTCTTAATCATGTAACCAAGATCGCGTGACTGCATCTCATGAGTCATATATACTCTCATCCTCGTTTGATCTAAGCTGGCTTAATTCTATGATCCATAGCGATGTTTATAGTACAATAGAATTAACAAGACCAATAATATACATTGTAATTTACGAAATATTGTGTGTATAACTTTGAACATGCTATATCATAACCTATAGTTTTACACGCGTGCCATTGTCTCTGCATGAATCCTACATTCTCTAATTAAAGATCTCTGATGTATATAACAATTGGTTATAGGCAATAAAAAGATAATTTGCCACTAATAATATCTTCTATTCTACTATGTGCAAGCTGTTGTTGTATACACAGATAAAACACAGATGTGAAGTATCGTGGACAAACTCGAAAAACAAACAAATCATAAATAACAATAAGTTCTACAACAAAGACTGGGCAAGTTTATGAATTAGCTATTCGGAATTAGTACATAAAAAAGTTATCTCATATTGGGGCCCGCAATAATTCTGTCCCTGCCACGTTTTTTACATGCATGTACACTTTTATTTTATATATGAAAAACCCCTATAGGCTAAGGAGCTGATTATATATACATGGAGAGTTTCCAGCCCTGGCTGAGTTTCAACCCGGTTTCCCGGGCTGAAATTTCAGCACGGCCTAAGGACTGTAAAATCCTATTAAAACACAGAAAACGATTACATGACAGAAATTTCAGCCCGGGCAGAGATTTCAGCCCGGTTGAAGCCGCTCGGGATGAAAATTTCATTCCGGTTGACAGGACTAAAAATCGTCATGTAATCAACGTGAAATTTCAACCCGGGTTGAAAAACAGCGTTTAAGTGACTTTATTTCAGTCTGTTTTATTTTAAAATGCAGCACAGTCTCGCAGAAGTCAAATAATAGACATGAACAACATTTTAAATTTATGGAAGAAGCGGATTAGCTCCATTTTCAGCCCGGGCTCAGATCGTTTCAGCCCGGGCTCAGATTTCACTCCGGGCTCAGATTTCACTCCGGGCTCAGATTTCACTCTGGGCTCAGATTTCACTCTGGGCTCAGATTTCACTCTGGGCTCAGATTTCACTCTGGGCTCAGATTTCACTCTGGGCTCAGATTTTACTCTGGGCTCAGATTTCACTCTGGGCTCAGATTTCACTCTGGGCTCAGATTTCACTCCGGGCCAGTGAGCTCTATATATATATCTGGAGCAAGAACTTCAGTCATTCGGTCAATGAGAAAAATGAAGCCAAAATGGCGGCCATTGACGTCCAATAGCTCTGAAGATCGTAAACAGTTTTTATATCATTTTCCCAAGCTAAATCCAGTTTTTTCTAATGTACCGTATCACTAATCAAGTTTTCAGTTCATAAAATCACAGTATTATTCTTTAAATCGAAGTCAAAATACGAAATTTCAACACACTCCTTGCCAAGATGGCGGAAATTGAAGGAGCTGTTGGACGTCAGTTCCAGTCCCTTTCTATTGTTTTTGTATGCGCGGTTAACACGAAACTGGCTTCACTTTGAGCAACCAAGTTCCCACTCCAGATATATATGGAGCTCACTGCTCCGGGCTCAGATTTCACTCCGGGCTCAGATTTCACTCCGGGCTCAGATTTCACCCCGGTTTGAATTGAAATTCTAACATTTCTTCTAGCTGAAACTTGTCATGTAATCGTGAAACAATTTCAGCTACAATCTTGGACAAAACCCTTGAGACCATTCCAGCTAATATTACAAAGTTATTGAACATTGACAAAACAAACTTTGTCCCCCCCTCCCCCCAGTTCAATGTTGCGAACAACGCCGAAACAACTTTTGGTAATATACCATGACACAAGCTCAACATTGAGTTGTGGGAGCGGGGGGTTAAGAATGGCAACATGATTCAACATGGAGTTTATCATAAAAATACGCGAATTTTCTATAGGGGGAAAATAGTCTCAACCAGTACTAGTTATGTCCAAGATTGTAGGTTAACCGGGTTGAAATTCAGCCCGGGTTGAAATTCAGCCCGGGCTGAAAACTCCCCATGTAATCAACCCCTAAAACTACATACAGTTATAGGTATGTGTTTATTCTGTAATTATTTATCTGCGGCAAAGCTATAAGGCAATTTATATAAGGTTTCTCATATACATTTGCATATGCTGAGAAGCCATTTCGAACGATTGAACGTACGTATTTTTGAAGTATATAGGTTATCCGCAAATCAGGACAAATTTATAAAACAAACCGAGCACGCAGCAAGAAAACAGTGTTCATATATGTATGTAGTTTTACTAAAACTATATTTATAGATTAGGGATGAGAAACAATATTATACCGTACAGTATATATGATCAGTGATAAAATATGATTGCATGTTATAGTAGGCCTAACAAATTAAATGCTTGTTTTTTTTTAAATCAAAGATAAAACTTATCTTTGATTATAAATTACGATTATCTACAAACCACATGCATTAGAATGGTACATTTATATCTTACAATGTAACAACACAAAAAAATAGTACGGTTCTTGTGCATTCTAACCTATATACCCATCATTATTTAGGCTGTTGTGTCCCCAGCGTTTGTGTTCCTTATATTAAATAGCTAAACTTTGTCCCTTTGGCCAAGGTAAAAACAAACCGATTAACATTGTTATAGTTGACGCTGCATTGAAGATCGTAAAATTGGCAGACTGGTTCATTAAATATCCAAAATATTCCAAAACACTCATCTGTGAATACCTCAGTTTACGAACTGTTCATGCGCCTCCATTTTGATAAGGTTTCAATCAGTTTCAATTTCGTACCCAGGTTCTTTCGGTCTACCCGTGGTTTTTCAAACCATATTTCTTAAACTGCTTATATCTTTAATAGCGAACAAGGTGTACTCATTAACGCACATCACATTCCCCATGAACTATCGCCTAACCTATTAAAGAATATTTCATCATACCTTTACCTTCGAAGGTTCCTTGAAGGGCGAAATTCCTTGTCATCTAACATAAATATGCTATCTATGATACCTGACTGCGATTCTTCAACGAATAGAATGACTTCCGATAAAATCCAGCATTATTTGTTTGCTCACTTTTTCACTGTCATCGCTACTTAAGTCTTCGCGGAGTTTACTCCAGTCCCAGAAATAACGATTTTGTGCACACATCCTACACGGAAAAAAATGTTGTCAGTTCTAAACTGTTCTCCTTAGAAGTTCAGCAAGGGTCATAGTCCAGTGTTAGTGCAGGAGGAAACCTAAACTGAACTGAATGTAATTTTACTGGATAGCTCTATCAGTTCTAAATTTGTTCTCCTTTTAAGTCCAGCAAGGGTCGTGGTCCAGTGTTACTACAGGAAGAAAACTAAACTGAACTGACTGTAATTTTACTGGATAGCTCTATCAGTTCTAAATTTGTTCTCCTTGGAAGTCCAGCAAGGGTCATAGTCCAGTGTTAGTGCAGGAGGAAACCTAAACTGAACTGACTGTAATTTTACTGGATAGCTCTATCAGTTCTAAATTTGTTCTCCTTGGAAGTCCAGCAAGGGTCGTGGTCCAGTGTTACTACAGGAAGAAAACTGAACTGAACTGACTGTAATTTTACTGGATAGCTCTATCAGTTCTAAATGTGTTCTCCTTGGAAGTCCAGCAAGGGTCGTGGTCCAGTGTTACTACAGGAAGAAAACTGAACTGAACTGACTGTAATTTTACTGGATAGCTCTATCAGTTCTAAATTTGTTCTCCTTGGAAGTCCAGCAAGGGTCGTGGTCCAGTGTTACTGCAGGAAGAAAACTGAACTGAACTGACTGTAATTTTACTGGATAGCTCTATCAGTTCTAAATTTGTTCTCTTTGAAAGTTCAGCAAGGCTCGTGGTCCAGTCACCAGTGTTACTACAGGAGGAAACCTAAACTCAAATTAATTTAATTAGATAGCTCTATCAGTCCTGAACTGTACATCTTTATTGGTCCAGCGTTACTACAGGAGGAAACCAAAACTAAACTGACCTTACAGTATTTATGCTGGATAGCTCACTAGAATTTCAGTAAAGGTCATAATTTAATCCTTTGTTATGTTAACTTACCCAAATGTTGCTATCGCCTGAAGAGGTATATCGAATTGTGATGATCTCGTTACAGAATTATAAAAATACGTCTTTTGTTGACTTTTACTAAAAGCTGTCGACCATGGATCTATATATATGGAAATACAAAATTGAAATTGCATACCTTAACCCGTAAAAAAACCCGTACTGCATGTACATACATTTGCTATACGGTGGTTCGTATCTGAACTAAAGCCCCCGCGGTCAAACAGGAATGAGAGTTGATGAATAATAAAGGTTCTATGAGTGTTTTAACTTAAATAAAATACATGATAGTATTGGGAAAGCATTAAGAAAAGCTAACCAAGATCGCGTGACTGTCAACTCCCATGCATTCTCATACTCGTTTCATCCGGGCTTAAAGTGCGACTAACCACAAATATGATTTTTGGTTTGCGTAATATTTGGGTCATTCGAAGAACAAATGTAATATATCTAAATAGTAAAAAATCCCATCTTGATCGACTTTTTCACTGTCGAAGTTTACGGATATGATGTCATTAGGTGAATTGTAAATTAGTTTTCCTTTGTTTTTTGTACCAAAAGTTCACCTAATGACATCAAATCCGGAAACTTTGACAGTGAAAAAGTTGATCAAGACGAGGTTCTTTACTATAAAGATACATTACATTTCTTCTCAGAATGACCCAAATATTACACATATCAAAAATTATATTTGGGGTTTGTCGCACTTTAACTGAAAAAGACGTGGACGTTTCAAGGCGTTGGTCAAGAGTTCGCTCGACTTCAGCATAAGTCAATAAAACCTACTTAAACAAAGTATTAATGGAAATATATTTCTCAATTACCATTTAAATGTTTAACGAATGTTATTCCACTAGGAACTATAGACCGATTTTCTTCAGCAGTATAGCATAAAGCTGGTTGTGGACGGCCTTTTAGACGCTTCAATTCCAAACTGAAATACAGAAACAGCAATGTTAGCCCCTAAAAACATTCAGAGGTTGGCCAGGGGCGGATTTAGACCGTTGCAACTGTAGCATATGCTACGGTCAGATTTTCCCTAGGCCAGTTCTAACATGGATCATAAAATCAATCTAAAATATAATTTAGCAATATTTTGTTTACTTTCCTTGTTTATATTTCAAGGTTTTATTTTATTTAGTTTTATATGTTTAAAACATTTTATTTTGACAAATTGATGACATTGATACGTAACGTTAATTGTTTTAAGAATTCCCGCCCGAAAATACGGTTGTAATTGCCCGTTTGCGGGTCATTACGCAATGGACTATAGCTTAGAAAATATCATCCTTCAGAAATACACCGTAGCGTGTTGCCCATATATGATCAATTTTCGCTACGGTCAGATTCATTAAGGTCGAATCTGACCGTAGCGAAAATTGGCATATACGGCATTCTGATTGGTTTGCTACGGTCAAACGTAGCAAACCAATCGGAATGGGGCAAATGCTATAGTTTGCTACGGTGGCATGAAATTGGCTACTGCTCCAGAACGATGGAATATCTGATATTTGTGTTTGGCTCATCAACAACATGCTATTGGGAACCCACAGTACGGTTGTGCGCATTTCGAAATGAAAGCCATCGTAAAGCTAAAGGATTTATATGCGTCGAGGTAGAAATAAAATCAGATAGTAAAACGAATCATTTCCAGTCAGGTAAGCCTTATGAATAATAAGAGATGGACATTATATTTTAATTTGAGTTTTTACTGCATAGTGTTCGCTATTAACTTCCCTTTATTAAAGTGTTTGTGCGCGTATACAGTATACCTGCATGTATTGGAATTAATACGCGAATTATGATACGCGCGTATATATATATCGTGTTTTATAGCGCCCTAATATTTTGTTTGTAATGTGTATATATTCGTAAGATACGCGTATTCGTATGATACGCGCGTTCATATGATACGCGTATTCGTATGATACACGCGTTCGTAGATGATACGCGTACTTCGGTGTTCAATTGATAATGATATGCGTATGATACGAGTATCATACCGGTATCGTATGTTAAGATATACGCGAGCGATACTTTACAGACCTTTACATTTTGAGATTATTCCGGCTTATTTTTGCTTGAGAAATGAATACAATGAGGACAAATTTAATGGTCACATGCAGTGCTCAGAACGCAGGAAATGGCATTTCCGGGCTTCAAATTTCAAAAATTTTCCGGGGGGGCATGCCCCCGGACCCCCCTAGCTATGCGAGGTCTTTGAAAATGCTACGGTCAGATTTTTCGCTGGATCCGCCCCTGTATTGGCTGTACTGGCTGCACGAAGGCCGCGGATAACGATATCCAACGTTTTCTTTAATTATATCACCTTGTCCAGAACTAATCTTTTTCGTCGAAAACCAACTAGGATATAGGTTTCTCGCAATGCTTGTCTTGTTTATTTTTTTCCATTTTAAGTTTCGATGTTAACTCTCTCTTAAAAATTTTGTCGAAAAACAAAATGGCACTCCTGCAAACCAAGATCGGATTTTGAGGGGAGGTACGCACCTCCCCTGAGATCATTTTTCACCTTCCCCGAGAATTTTTGCACCTCCCCTGAAAAGTGATGCACCTCCCCTTGGGAAAGTTTCAATGATAAATCAAAGTGAAAGTGTGATGGTTACTTAGGGTCTACCCTTCGTAAGAAAGTTTTTCTGTAAAATTGCTACAGTGACAGCCATTAATCTCTGTGTCAAGTACCCTTTTGATGCAAAGTTTTGAAAGAAACTTTGTAGAAATTGTAATGAAGGGCAAAATTGGATACGTTGTACAGTCATAATTCATTAATACATATGTACACTACATGCATACGTCACGTCGTTGACTTTGCCCAAACTTTCCATGGGGGTCGTGAGCTAAACCGCTGCACCTCCCCTAAATTTTTTTCCACCTCCCCCACTATTTCCACCAAAATCCGGCCTTGTTACAAACCGCGCGAAATTCCTTCTACAGGAGACTGGACCGAGTCAAATGCTCTTATAAATCCTACATTTTGAGGAGTACGCATTCTATATCTGTTATTTCTACTGTATGTCGGTAGTGCATCTTTTAGTTGATGTGGAACTGAATTCACACGAGTAGTTCTAAAGAAAAGTCTCTCATTTTCTGCCTATCTGGCTCGT